TTTTGGGGGGGGGGGGGGGGGGGGGCGGGTACGCCGATGGGGTGTTGCATTTGTTGGAGGAGGGCAGGCGGGGGGTTGGGCATTGTGAACCTAACGGTGTGTTCTCGTTGCTGGGATCTTGTTATGCTTGGGCACCGTAAAATAGCGCTTTGCACAGCAGTGCTGCTAGATCTAGCGAGCTTGTCCGTTGCCATGCGATGGGTTGCGTCAAGGAACGCTGCACTCGTGTATTGCGGCTAGCTTTCCGTACGTTTTTCCGTTAATACCCCAAAGTTGCTTTTCCGGGCTTTCGGGGTACATTGCACTTGATGGCCAGTCTGCCACACGGCTTCCTTGATTGCTGTGCTAAATCTTGTCGTCGTGCTTCGCCTGTGGCAGCTTGTGGCTCAGAGCGTCGCGCGACAGCAATGCTGAGCGCATTGCTCGTGGCGATCAATTCACACCATCTTACGCATGCACACGCGCACCTTCTCTCCCTTGTGCGTGTGGATGTTTGTTTTTGTTGTGCGTTTATCATGTATCGCGTAGGGATTCCCCGCGGTCCGATCATTGTTTTGGCGTGTATGTCTGGGTGTACTCGTATGCATGGTGTTTTTTTCAGTGCCGCCATCTACTAGAAACGACCTTTAAATTTTCGGAGCTAAATTTTCCTGGAACGTTCTTGAGTTGCCAGTGAGAGTGCGTGTTAAACATCCCCAATTTTGTGGGCTCGGGGCGCAAGATTAGGTCACGTTGGGGCGCCCACCCCAGTAGAAATAGCCAGCCTGGGTAGACCAGGCTGCTGTGCCACCACACAGCAGGTAGAGATATTCTTTGTTTCCTACGTGGTGGGGACGCTAAAATTGATTAGTCTCCCCACGTCCCCCTTGATCGTTCATTCCTTTGTGTATTTTTCATTTTTTGGATGGTTTGCTGCATGTTGCTTTTATTTTTGAGACTGACTGATTGCTGCTGTGGAGGACACTTGACAGGTCTCTTGGCGTCGGCAGGTCGATAATTGGGCGAGCCCTTGCATTTCGTAAGTAGATTGTTAGCTGAGGTATAGAGATAGGTTTAAACGGAGCGTGCCGTTGTAGCCCTGGTTACCGTAGTCTAGTCTTTGCTGCTCTAGTAGGCACGACGTGTGCGGTGGTTAATTGGCGAGGCAGCGCATTTTTAGTGTACATTGCACGAGTTCACGGCTGAGGATTGCGGCAGGCAACAAATTATTGTGGAGAAAGAGGTCGAGAGACAGAGAGAGAGATTGTTGGGAGGGGGTGCCGACGGTCCGGATTAGGTGGCCATGTTCAGAACCATGCAAGGACGAAATGCGCACAAGCTCATACATCTACATGCATGCGTCCGTGTAGCTGAGGACCATGCGAACGAGTAGGGATCACAAAGGTGGAGTACATCACAACGAGCAGGGGGAAGTTAGAAAGAAGGGCCGGTTAGGTGCGACACTCTGCAGATTGGGGTGTATCGACGGGTGAGAGTTTCTTTTTTACAACACTTCGCGGCAACACGTTGTAATAGTTGCACCGCAGAAACTTGACGTTGTAGACTTGTGCTTGAACCAGCGTTCTTTGTTTCTTTTTTTCCTTCCTTTTCGAGAGGGAAAGCGACATGTGACATCGCGTATAATTGATTTGTGATTGTTTGCCCCTCCTCTTTCTATACCAGGTCTGTCCGCTTTGTCGTGGGCATCACACCACCGCAGAAACAGGCTGTGTCTGTCCGTGGTCTGCGTGTGGCCCTCTGTGTGCCCCCGACTCGTGGTGCTTTTCAAAACTCGCCTGCTTGGTGGTTGATGCACAAATCGGGGAGAACTTTCAGCGTGATTCATTGGACGAGATACATCTAATACGCAGAAGGCTGAGGACGCGCCTGTTAAAGTGCCCAGCTGTTTGCTGTTTGCGCAGCACGCAGTCGATCGATGCTGATGATGATGACTGTACACGCAATCTCTCTTCATGTGATCGTATACATACATCCCACTGCGCATCTGCAACAACTGCTGCCTGTTGTTGGTACGACTGTAGCAGCCACATACATGATGAATGGACGTCATTGTTTGTGGAGAGTCTCATCCTCATCGTCAAGGGTTCATTCAATCTGCCAACAACCCGAGGTCTGTCGAGGACGACTTCTTCCCTCTCTTCACACGATGATTTTTAGTCAGAGGGAAACTGGCTGCGGTGTGTGTGCCCGGCCGCAGGGGGGGGAGTTCCGCGGCGTGCACCGTGTGTAGTGTGCTCGTCGTGCTCACTTCCCCCCCCCGTCATTATTTCTTCAAAAATCCTGCCTTCTTTTCTGTCTTGACGTGACACGTGCGTTCGTCAAGTCGTTATTTCGTGCATGTTGTCATGGCGCCGAGCTTCGTAATACGCACACCCACTTGCTGTCGGTGTCCAACCCGAACTGGAACTTTTCGACTGGGCGACTGGAGTACCCGCAGTATACCGTAGGTCGCTTGCCCGTTGGCCAGATGGTCAAACCCCGACTGCTCTGACCGCGACAAAGAGGATTCCACAATCAAATACTCCAGTAAACTTCACTGCATTCATTGACATCTTTTTTTTGTTTTCGGAAAACTCTCGAAAAGAGGATAATACCAACGCCACCATTTTCGGCACCGCCAGTGTTTCCGCTGCAGAGTACTCGAGCTGTTTAAAATCGGTCCACACGGTGTGTGTTATCTTATGCGGCCTATGCATACGGCGGTAATCAATCGCGCGGGGGCGGAAGGCTTGGACATTTTCTTACTATATCTATGCACCTCTACATTGGGCACAATGGCGGAATACCGTATGATTTCGTCTTTGCGCTCGAAAAGTTCTCCAAAGGGACGTGTGCATGCAACTCTGGCGAAGGCCGAGGGGTGCCAGAGCGCTCAGAGTAAGACCTGCTGATGGATACTTCTATGCAACCACCGGTACGTACGCTCTTCTAGCGTTTTTGTATGAGCGTGCTTCCCCCCCCCGAACGAAGTAAAAGAACGCCAGCATATTTTCAAGAAAACTTGCTACTGTATTCCGCCGCATCCACCCCCGCCGCTCACGCTCACCAACCCTTTTCCGTTCATCTTTGACCTTTGACGTTCTCGCTCCTCGCAATCCGGACCGGGCTGACCTTGCACCATGCACCTCATGTACTACCTGGAGAACGGCAAGCGGGTCTACACGCTCAAGGTTGGTGGCCGTGAAGAAATATGGGGGTTGCTGTACGCTCCCTTTTCCCAACACACATCACGGGCGGGGGAAGCTGTGGACAGCCATGAAGCAAGTAGTCATGCTCGCATTGGGGTACACACGACTCTTCTGTGGCTCTGAGTGTAGATATAGCTTGAGCTGACTAGCGTGTGTGGCATGATAGTCCATCTGCTTCGCGTAGTGGAGCTCGCCCCAGTTTTAGAGACTCGGGTCTTGCACATCATGTCGCTACAGTATTAGAGACTCGGGTTGGCCATCTCTGCTGCTGCTGTGTGTGTAGACCGCCCGTGCGGCATGATGCTCCGCTCCCGCTTGCTTGAGATTCACGTGCCTTCCCAACCTGCCTGTTGCTTCATACCTCTGGGACGATATTTTTGCGATTGTCTACATTCGCAAATACCATATGGTAGTCTACATGAGGAGTCTTGTTGTCTCGAGGTGCAGCAGTGCTGTCATGTGACAATGTTGACCGTGTGAGGTTATCCCCGGTATCAGATCAGAGCGAGGGAGACCATGTAGCTTATACTTGGGAGGGGGTACAGCGGTGGCAGACGGCTACACAGCGTGTTGATCATCACAACCCTTATTCTCGAGAGTAAGAATATATAGAGCGTCACACATGGAGTATCCCGATGGTAATTACATCTGCCAGCGGGTCGCCGTTGAAATGTAGCTGGCGGCCTGCGATCCCGCTGCAACACTCGTCTCCACCATGTACTACACGCGAAACATCTGCCCGTTTGGATACCTACATGTAATTTTGTGTATGTAGCATTTTTCTAGTATGGCACGCGGCACGTGGCGTTAGAAGCAGCGGGCCATTCGTTTGGTGATTTTGTCCCCGTCTTGAGAGGAACGCGCATTAGAATCGCGTGTGTGTATGCAACTGCCAAATGCTCTGCAGCTGCCGAAAGCTCTGCGGTTTAATGGTACCTTGCAACACAACAGCGCACCCCCCTTACGTTGCCCGACTTCCTGTGCAATCACAAGGGTTTCTCCCATTGTTTCTTGGGTCGTATTGACGGAAGCCGAGCCCGAATGGAGGAGTAACCGAGTCATCGTGGTCCCGCCCCCCCACCCCCCCCGCCCCACGCTCTTGTCACACGCGTGTGGTGTTCGTGAGGGGATTGTATGTCGTCCTTACACGAAGGCTATTGTACTGCGGTAGTACTCGTGTGTGGCTTGAGAAGATAGAAGTGTGCAAGTGATCGATCCACGAACGGAGGTGGATCTTCGGGGTATCTCTCGACGTGTCTTTGGCAAGTTGGAATAGTTCCCCTTGTTGCAAGTTGCGGAGGGCCTTTTCGGCGGTGAATTTCCTGCGGCCGCTGTTGCTTGCGTGCCTTGACGCTGTGGTGCACATGGTGCCCACGATTTCATGTTGCTTGTCTACGAGGACAACCTAATAAACGACTTTGTAAATCTATTCATTCCTGTGGACCGGGTCAGCCGTGCTTAGGCAAGCAGCACTGGGTAGGCTTGGGTCCTTTCAACTGTGTTGTGTCCCATTGCGTGTGTGATGTTCGCTGTGGTTTTGATCGCCCCACCAGAAAGCGAATCCCGCTAGCGACCTGATCGGGACCCCCACGATGCATGCCTGTTGTGACCCCGGCCACAAAAAGAATTCCGCCGGCACGCTGACCCCCCCCCCTCCCCCTCCCACTCCGACGATGCCTGTCTGATGTGCCCCGTTTAACGTTTACTGCTGTGGCTTCAATTGCGCCGCCAGAAAGCGAATCCCGCCGGCAACCTGACAGAGTCGGCACACCCAGCACGCTTCTCCCCAGACGACAAGTTCTCTGGTGCAAGAGTAGCGAACAAGGCTCGATTCGGGGTGCTGCCTACCCAGCAGCCGCCGATCATTCTCTGATTTGCCCTCTCTCTCTCTCTCTCTCTCTCGCATGAGATGGATCTGATTGGTTGGGCGAGAGGCCGTTTCGGAGCCAAACGTAGAATGTTGCGAAAAGTTTTGTCCAAAGGGTGGGGGGTTGTGTATAGCGTTTAGTGTAGTAACAGGTTCGGAGGCGTTTTTGATGTTGTTTTGTGTGATTGGGTTTTTGCCAGGTCTTCTGTTCCCTTGCCCTTAGTGCCTCTTTTCCGTCGATTTCCCTGAGCGTTTGGCCTGTCCGGTGCTCCCGCGACGGCTGGGGATGACGCAAAGGCACGATTCGGGGCTGTGTGGACATCCATCTTTTGAACACACGGCGGCACTTGCGATGATTATGGTTCCTACAACGCTTTTGATGCATGGGTCGACCAAATGCAAGAACCGTCTTGTTTTTTTTCACGAAGGCAAGGTGCAGGACAGTAGTGCGTAGATGTATCTGTTGAGCGCACGATGGCACTGACCATGGTGTGATGCAGGGTCCTCGAAACGCGAGAAGTCTGTGTTTTGTGCCGCAAGGGCAAAAGGTGCATGGCTGTGTGTACTACTTATGGTGACTACTCTAAGGGCAGCCAGCCGTAATTGTTGTCTGTCATGCTTGATGCTGGTAGCGGCGAGAAATGGGTGCTCTAGCGAGAGTGGGAAGCTGCAGGTTGCGTGTTTGTCTGTTGACCGCGGATTTCACATCCAGCCAGCTTGATCCACGAAAGGAAGCCCAGGATGTGTGTTTTCAAGTTGTCTCAAAACACTCTTGAATATTGCCGGGTGTCCGGCTAAAGGCCTGCTAAATCCCTTGGGCCCTTACAGTACGCAGGGATGACCACTACTACGTACGGTTAGTCGACACAAAGCTGCACAACAGCGTACGCGGGTGATGAGGTTCATTCGTGCTTTCATCAAAAGTACCAAACGCCATATAAACAGTAAGAGCATTGCAGCACGTTACCCGGGGAAGAAACTCGATCCTTCGATTTACGATTTCTGCGCACGAATCGACATGATGCGCTGTACCCACTTCGCGACTTGATTGAGTGATTTTCTTTCACACCTGGCTTGAAATGCGCACCCGTGACACAAGAAACGCAAGCTAAGCATGGGAGTACCGACGTCGTCATTCGACACAGACATGTCTCGGGAGCGTGGGACACAACAGCCTAAAGTTTTGTGTGCCTGTGTCCGTCCGGTTTGTTCTGGTGCCGTTCAACATAACTTAACCCTTGTTTTTCAGCCGGGGTCAGACAGGAGGCAAGTCGTAGACCGCCGCAGGAGCGCTTGTAGGTTTTACATTCGGTGGCCGAGACATCGATGTGCATGGCACCCCAAGCGGTACTTTCAACTCCCCTTAGGAGAGCACGCTACCGTCGTCGCATCGCGACTGCTCAGCGTCTACAGCACAACGCGTGCAGACTCTTGTGTACGGTCACCTTGGATGGTACGAGAATACATCAAAAGCGCCAGAAATACGTCACGGGGCCCCCTTTTAGGACTCCCTCCTCCAACAAGGTTTGCCCTAAACCAAGCGAACTGGATTTTTGGATTGATGTAGTAGTGAGTGAACCAAGCCCAGGACGAAACACGCCTCCTCCTCTTTCACAGGGTGCCCGTCGCACTCCTCTCCTCTCATGCCGCCGCATCACCTACAACCCTCATGCCCTAGAGAGAACGCGCTTTCCGCACATCAACGAGGGTCAGCACGAACATCCAACACAACAACAACAACAACAAAAAATCCCCCCGACCCTGGCCATCAACCCTTACTTCTCTCCGCTGGCCATAGCCCCTTTTATGCCTCCAACTCGTTCCAGCACAAGCAAAATGTCGACAAAAAAACAAATGCCGATGACACCGCTTCCGATCGGCCATCCCTTTTCAGCTGCTGCTTCTGCAGCCAGCTTCCATCCGCTCGGACCAACAGTTTTTATAGAAAGATACAACGAATCCATATCTATCCCCAGATATAAAGAGTCCGGGACATCGCTGAATGGATGCTGCTGTAGCTTAGTTTCTTTTTTCTTTTTTCTTTTCTTCTCTTTCTCCATGAACCGGGAGGATGGCGGGGATCGAAGGAGGACTTCCCCTCTACCGCAACGCCGTCGATCTTCGCGTACCCCCCCCCCCCCCCCCGAATCGTTTTACGTCCGTGTACCCCACACGTACGATGAAACTGCGAAGCGTGCGCCGATCAAGGGAACATGCATGACTGCAGTGGCAGCGGCTTCGCCATCGAAACCAACCGATTGAACATACTCGACCCGGGAAAACAAAGATCCAGACAATTTTACGACTGGCTGCGCGTGCACAGAGTCCATCCCCGAGGAAATTACGCATCCATCGACTACCGAGATTTCGGAGATCATGAACCCGCGGAATCACGCATCCATCCACTACGGAGATTTTGGAAATCATGAACCCGTGGAATCACGCATCCATCTGCGGAGATTTGGGAGGTCACGAGCCCGCGGAATCACGCGTCGTGTACGGAGATTACGGAGATCATGAGCGCGGCGGGCGGATGGTGGTTTCCCTTATCGTCCTGTTGATGCGGACGTCCGGGTTGGTGAGCAGCGTGGAGAAGCTCCAGTAGGTCACGAACGTGATGGCGAATCCGATTACCCCCATCACCGGCCACGCCTGTCCATGGGTTGGGTTGGCGTTGTTCGTGTTGGAGGGGTTAGGAATCGATATCAGAAATGGGGCAGGTGTGTGTGTGTGTTTGTCTTTACTATTATCATGGACCGCGCTAACCGGCTGTCCAATGAAAAGACGTCAGTCCCAGTGCGGTTGACAACACAAAACACTTGTGAATGCCATGATCTGGGACCCCGTGAGGGGGCAGCATGGGGGAGGCTAGACTATCCTTCGGATCAAAGACAGAAACGGTAGCAACGGAAGATAACTGCAAGCGTCTACCAAGGCTATTACCTTGTACTCGAGTTCGTGTAGGAGTACTTTCACCACTATCCTCCTCGTTTTCGCGACCATCATTCTGATCATCATTTTGACAACAATCTCTTGGCAGTTCTTTCCTAGCCCTGCGTCTTTTATTTTGGGGAAGGTCATCTGGCTCAAACCCTTTGCTCTCTTCCACTCCTCCATGTTTTCCTCCTCCATCGTCGTCTTCGTCCTCCTTTCTTCCCTCTCCCTTTCCTTCGTCTCCGTCACTCCCAAAAGAACTATCCCCAATACTATCGTTGTCGCAGTGTGTGTGTGTTTTGGAACCGTATCGACCACGCTAGCCGTGTGTGCGCTCGCGCGCGCGTGGGTGCATGTATATCTGTTGGTATTTGTATCGGAGAATCGGCAGTACCAAGGCCAACAACCACCACACCACCACCACCACCGCTACTACATCCAACGACTCACCCCCTTGTCCGACAACCAGGCCTCCTTGAAAGACTTGGCAGCGCCGTACTTGGGCGTCCCTTCACTACTCGCCATCCCTCGCGTCAGGTTCACGGTGGCAGCCCTGCACGGCGATAGCGGCAATTGTCCGTGGGAATACATGTAAGGATGGGGTTGGCAACTGTCCGTGAGCATAGATAAGGATAGTGTTGGCAATTGTCCGTGAGCATACGTAAGGAGAGGGTTGGACATGCACAAACTTGACCGGTCATGTTGACATCCTTCCCGCCGCAGCTGTTCCTGCCGAAAACGCCCGCAAAATCTGGGCCCATACCATTCCAGACCTCCACTTCTGTAAGCACTGTCACAGATCCAATTCCCATAACCGGTGGTCTACAGCAGTACCAGCTCACACCACTACGTATCGTGACTGCGTGCGCATTTTGAAAATTGTCGTCAGTTCCCCCCCTTGCCCACGACAACGCGAACTTCGCTCGGTTGTACTCTGGGGGAAGCGTGTCAACCGCGCACTCTGGTTGACAAGCTTTCCTCCCAGTACAAACAAGCGAAGTTCGCACCACCGTCGGCAAGGGGGACAGGGCCAGATCTATAGCATGCGCACACAGTCACGATAGTGGCTGAGCCAATCAGTTCAAATCGGAACGCCTACGCCGGATTTTAAGAGTATCTAGAAAAAGAACAGGGAGGGGGCACGCAGACCCTATCCCTAACCCTAACCCTAACCCTAACCCGAAAGCACGGATTCAATACTTTATCCCATATGTTTGCTTAATCAATTTTGCTGCGTAGACTGCTATCAAGATCTTTAGCATGCGCACGCAGTCACGAAGTGCGCTACAAGGCAATCAGTTCAAATCCAAGCTGTTTGGGGGCCAAAATACTACTTTGTAGAGTATTTAGTACCAGATATAAAACATGAAAAAAACCCCGGGCGTGTGGAGTCCCGACCATTCTCCCACCGGGCGAAATATGGTGGAGACGCGGAACACCGTGGGTGGTGGAAACGCGGTATACCGTGGGTGGTGGAGATGCGGAATACCGTGGGTGACGTAAGATATCATACCCCCTGGAGCGATTTTCGAAGCTTGAGAAGTCCGCAGCAGAAAAGAGAACCGGTAGGCAAAATGGTAACGCTTGCACGGCTGTGTCGCCCAGAACCGTTCCGAAGCGGCATCGTCGTTTGACCCGTACACCCTCTTCGTATTAAATCGGCCTTAAACTCGGTCGAAGGGGGGGGGGGTCGTATCTTTCATCATGTCACCTACGGTAATACCACTATGGTAAGGTAATACGATTATGGTGCAAGAAACCCACGGTAACATAGAAAGTCGGTCCAGCGGGGGGGGGGTGATATCTTACGTCATGTCACCTACGGTGAAGCGAACCACGTGCCCGAGCCACGGCTTCGGCCCCAAAGGAAGAGGGACGGTTATGCGCGCAGCTTCAACATTTGTACCTATGCATATTCGATCGGGATGACCCCCATACCCGAGTTGCTCCTGCATGAAAATGGAACAGTTAGCCTTGGCAGGTTTTTTCGTCGAAGTAAACATGTTGGATAAAGTACGCAATTGGGGAAGTTGGGTTAGGGATAGGGATATAGAGTCTGCGTACCCCCTCCCTGTTTTTGATTTCCTCGTACACTTGCGGCTCAAATGGAACCTCACATCGATCTGCTTACTGCAGGCTGCCCCTGCTAAGACCCTTGGTGAGGATAATTCGCGTCCCTGCTCCGCGGTCGCGGTCGGCACGTGCTCGATCGAAGTGCCGCCCCGGCCTGAACTTTCCCCAGATACAGTTATGCCTCACTACTGAATGATAACTAGGCGAGTACCGTGCTCGCGGAGTCATCATACAGCAGTGCGATATCACTGTATCCAGGGACTGTCTAGGTCGGGAATTATTCGATAAAGCATGTGTCAATGAGGGAGCCGCCGGGCAACGTCTCACCCAAGTTCTTAGGACGATCGGCCCGTAGTATCCCCGGGAAAAAGTCGGTGGATTGACCGGAGGTGGCTGCAGCGCAACGCAGATCGGGACGTTTTTACCGTAAACAACAAGCTGTCATAACGGCTACGACAACAAGCGGTAATCACGGCTTTGACAACAAGCTGTCATAGCGGCTTCGACAACAAGCTGTCATAACAGCTAAGACAACAAGCCGTCATCACGGCTACAACAACAAGCTGTGATCACGGCTACGACAACAAGCTTTCGTCGCGGCCACGACAACAAAATTTCATCACGGCTTCGACAGCAAGCTGTCGTAACGGCTAAGACAACAAGCTGTAATCACGGCTACGACAAAAAGCTTTCGTCGCGGCTACGACAACAAACTTTCATCACGGCTACGACAACAAGCCGAGAGTAAACGTGGCTGTTCTTGATGGACCACATCTGCCGCTCTGCCGCGGCGATCACTTCCTTCATCCACGAACAGGTCGAAAGGGCAGGACCGTACCGAGGCTGAGCAAGACATCACACACACCCTGGAACGATTTTCGAAGCTCGAGTTGTACTCGGCAGGCAAAGCGGTGACGGTGCCGAAACTGGCGGTGTTGGAACCGTCCCGTAGAGAAAACCTATCCTTTAGCCTTTGATTTCGGCACTCTCTTCGTCGCGGAGTAATCGAGGTTTGAAAATAGGCCCAGGGGGTGTGGTATCTCACGTCACCTGTACGGTAGGTTAGGTTGACTGCGTGGAACCGCCAACGTGTGCAAAAAAAAACCATCAACCTATCCGGGGGCACGCAGACAGCCAAATAGTAGGCAGGCCCGTAAAGGGTAGAGGTATGCCTCCCTACTCCGTACAGCACCACTCTGAAACAGCAGTGTGGTATCGGTTCTGTGGTATTTTGCTCTTGTATTCGATAATGCTACACCACTAGACCCGTCAGCGCTGACTATTTAGTCTGCTGGTGTAGTTGTACACGTGTCGAATACAAGATAGATGGCAAGCGGTTGCCCAAGTGAAGCATGGGATCTTCTCCTGCTGAAGTTTTTCGAAGTACACGGAACGAAAACTCTGACCTGGCTAGGCAGCGGTATTGTATACCCTTGAGCAAAGTGAGCATGAGAAGCCCAAGCAGTACTCTTCTAGAGCTAAAACTGAGGCCATAGAAAGCAATGCTTGGGCTCCTCATCCTCGCTCTGCTTAAGGGTGCACCACCGGCCTGACCAGGTCAGACTTTCCGTTCCGTGCGCTGTGAAAAACTTCAGGACAATGCGACGTGTTCCTGTGATGGCAGAACGTCACAACGCACGACATGACGGAGGGCGTCTCCCCGATATTGTTGTCGTTGACCCCTAGATTGCACAAAACTACGGGGGGAATGTCTGGTGATATTTTTACCTGTACAATGTTTTTGTGACTAGCACCTGCTGCTGGCATCACTGATGAAATGTCAAGTGTATAGGCGTAAATAGACCCTAAATAAGCCCAGTATCCAGCCGGTTTCTTCATCCCACCACTCACTGCTGTAAAGACTTCAACTATTTCGAACGGTTGGTCTTTCTGTGAGGTTATGTATACTTTCTAAAAAAAAATTCCATGCTTCACATGGGCAACCGCTAGCCATCATGCCAACCAACAACTTATAGTGCCAACCCTTCTCCCAGACTACAGCAGTACGCTGGGCAGAAACGTGCGTTGCAGACAAATTGCCCGATATTCCGCTCTACCTCATTCCATGGGAACATTCCGAACCATCGAAATGGCATTGCTACAAGTATATCAGTCATTCTGTGGTGGGCGGCGGGGTTATCTTGTGCGGTTGTGTTATCTTGTGTCTTTTACGGACACACACGGGCGGGTGGCAACATCAACATTTACTAACAGTACATTTCGTACTTGTACTGCTGTCCGCTCAAAAGGGACAATCCACAGAGTTAGGCGGCACTATGCAACGAAACACGCAATTTTTATGCATTACCGAACACGTGATATGGTGCGTGTGTTGGCGGTTGGGAACTGGCCGGTTGCGTCAGAGGACCGGCGGCACAGCAGTACTGCTGTCGCGTTGAAAAGGCCTGACAAGACGCTGCTGCTGTGCTGAAAAGGCATGATCAACCAACAGCTAGGTAATGTAGCTCTCGCCGTTGAGTGAACTGTATGTACTGCTGTAGGAGAGCACTGACGTTGAGTTCTTTCAAGACGTTGGAATGGCTTGGACTCTTGAGAGCGTTCGGGTGTTTGAAGAACTCAGTCTCAACAACAAGAGAGAGGGAGAGAGAGGCACGAGGCCAGCAAGAGAGCTCTCGCTGCAGGAGGACCTAGACAGCCGGTACACGGCACCTACTGCTGCTGCTGTATGCTGTTGTAGTACTCTGCTGTAATTCAGCCGCATCCAACAATCTTGCTCCATTTTTTCCTTCGCGCGTGGGAAGTGGGAAGACACCGGGCCAAAGTGCACACATGCCAGTGTTTACACCACGCAGGGCCTAGCTAAGGGCAACGCAACAGAACCTTCCGAAAGCACCGGGCATGGCTTCTGCCCACACCCGTTGCAATAGAGCCCTTGGCCGGGCCTAACACGCACTTTGCTGAAACACGAAACCCTTTCGCTTCGCGCCTCAGTCGCAGCCGACCTTTGTGCAATGCATGCATAGCAAATTCACCTGAACATCGGAGGCTTGGGCTGCATGACAGCCCTGCGCATCGCGGACGAAACCACCGAAGACATATTCAACAACCTCTGGTCCTCCTTTCTCTAGGTTTAGCTCTCCTTTGAACCTGGCTAGCCTTGCCCCAAGTCTCTCGGCGCGAAGCTCCTTGATCTGATTGGCCACTCGCTATTGCTGGAACCGGTTACCGGCTAACAAATTTGCGATGCAACATGCGAAAAAAGAGGGGGACCGGGGACGTGATGAAACCGCCACCATTTCAAAACGACGAGACGACCAAAAGGACCGACATTTTCGTTGTTTGGTGCTCGATGAGAAAAGCTCAACACTCGCACTAACATGATAACCTCTCCTAAGTAAGCTTGTGCTGGGTCGAACTCGAGGTACTGTAGTATCTCGTGATCGGCTAACTGTAGGCTGTGGATACCGGACATGGACGGCAAAGAGCTACACAACGCTGCCGAGTGAGAGAGAGATTTTGCTCAACACCCACCGCCGCGTGTATAGTTTACCTACACGCCGTGTTTGAGCACGGAATCGTCGCGAAACAAGGCAAACCACAAAAACATAGACCGTCGAGAACCAATTGCTTGCCAGCCATGTGTGCAAATTGCTCATGTTGTCACGCACATTTTGCTGTACAGGTCGCAATTTGGTCTTGCACGGTAATCATTCTCGCGTACAGTATTGCTTTTACATAGATTTTTCTTGCGTTCTGGTACCACCACTGCCAGATACCTGCGGGGGAGAATCAAGGCAGTGCCGGAAGACAACAACAACGTGTACGATCGGCGGGCACGGCAGGTGCACTTTGACTTGTACCGACGAACCAGGCAAAACGCGCTGGCTCTCTGGTGCGAGACTGTTGGCGGGAACCACAACCATCCGCCGAGAAGGACATGCCGCCCGACGCCAACACCCACCACCCCGACAGGTCTGTAGACTAGTAGCCGGTTTTTGGCACAGCATGAAACATTGTTGTACGTCCTGGTATGTACATAACATGCATAATGTGAGACGGCACTCACTGCAGTCCAGAGACTACACGACGGCCAACCGTCTGAGTTTCGCAGCTCCGTGACTCTTTTCCTGTCTAAAAAGGTTGTGTTTTGCTCCTCAGGAAAATACGTGAAACTACGAGTAGTGAGTGCGGTGCATGTACACGCTAGCCTACATGAACCTACGATATATCCTGCTACACGTTTCTCCTAACGCCAACGCATTCCATCTGTAGCACTACTATACGCCAACAAGGTCCATGGTCGCACATAATAGTATCCTTTCAAATTTTGTACAGCGGACAGCTTCGCACAAGAAGCGGAGAGTTGGCCGGACGATGAGGGAAGGGGGAGTATTTGCCTGCTGTGGTGCTCTGGGCGATGGCACTGCGCTAATGCGAGCTGGTGCGACCGCCCGGAAAAGAAGACCCTGAAGGTCGACGAAGCAGTGTAAAGAAGTTGTAGCTGTTGTAATAAGACACATAAGGTCGTTTTTCACCACAAGACAGCTTTCCTCGTAGCTCAACTCACTTGTTGGAGAAGATGAAGGTGGGCTCTTGGTGGTGTTTGAGCGAGCGGAAGCACGACGTTGTACTACAGTGCGTCGACTGCGTTCGATCTGTTGGATATCGAGCTTGCTGTTATCTGGGAAGTTCGCTGAGCATCGCCACCGTACTCTTCACGACGGAGAAAACTTCGTTGTTTCCGCCGGGGGCTTTCACAGCGTTTACTATTGTTCTGTCCCTCTGGTTGGCTGTGGCAATGGGTGCTATTGCCAAGAACTGCAGTGGCATCTAGAGCTTGTGGGTTCGGCGCGTCAACAACGAGCTGTTGTTGTAGTTTAGAGTCGCTCGAGTCTCGCCGCGTGTGTCTTCTTCAGTCCCGGGGAATCGTCACACCTTTTTTTGACGGGCCCGTCAATCCTCATGTCCGTTCGTGAAACGGACAGCTCCTTCCTCCTCCACTAGTGACAAAGTCCAAGTTCTCGTCCTCATGACCCTTAGAGTACGCGGAACTCTTCAGTGTCGTAGCGGAGTTTGTTCATGCTAGTTTGTTCATGCTAGCTTCAATGCCCAACTCTCCGCCATGGGCCTCCCAACAATGCTACTGCAACGAAAGATTTTGGGAAAGTGATGGGCGAAAAGCCTACTGCGACAAGGTACAAAGAACGACATGTTTTACAACTTTGGTATTTTTTTTAATCCAGGTCTCGTTCCCCGGCTATGACGGAGAAGATGCGGTGTTTGTGGATTCTCAAGATCCGAGAATACGTCACGCGGTGGGTTCTGGTCCTTTCAGATAATACAGGTGTGATAGGCGAACATACGAAACCCAACCACCTCGAAATGTGGCGTACTACTGTGTTACGGGCCGGTTGGTCTTGCTGATTTGGAGATAATGGTTGCGGCAAGCGGTGAGCTAAATCCTTCCCTCTCCAGATGAAAGCGACACCAAGGCGTTGTCTTGTTTATCGTTGGTGGCCAGCATGAGGTTGTTCATTGCCGTTTCTGTCCGCCAAGTGCCGTGGGAGTTATATGGTCGGACACAATCTCTCGCCGAGGGTCTTGTTTGAAGTTCCCGGCGCAGGGAGCACGCCCACCATGGCACATTCAACTTTTTACCTCGCATCACCATTCTCCTGATGTCCGCGAATGCAACTGGCTGTGCTGTCGAAGGTGCTGGACCCGCGGTGCGGACGTGACCACCCCAACCATCAAGTTCTCAAGGGCATTTTCCCGAAGGTATTGATGCCAGTTTTGGGGTTGTAGTTGGCCTGTGCTCACGCCAGGTGTCCGCGTCAGTTGGACCAGTAAGTATGTTAGAAGGTACTGAGAGGAGACCGGGAACGTTATTTACTGTGAGGACACCAGCAACAACAACGACGACGACGATACCACCACCAACAACGTCAACGACAACAACAACAACAATACATGCCACGTTCTACAGGCAGGTGACCACGTGCGAGTTCACGTCATCGACGCCGAGGAAGCCTCGATTTTCCTCCAAGAGGGCTCGTACCTCGCAGGGGAGGTCATATCTCCGCTGGCATCACGCGACAGTTCGCTGGTTAGCGTGGTGGGGCTCCCGGGACGGGAGTGGTTTCTGGTGCCCAACACGCGGATGGAACTTGTAACGGCCGAAGACTTCGCGCGAGTGGTGGATGGCTTGAAGGTTGCTCGAAGTAAGGTGTGGACGTGCGCCATGAATCTGCTGAGTTTGAGGCCCGTCAGCCGTTAATTTTGAAGAGAACATAAATACCACATATATTTGTTTCCTGTTTGGGCAATTTATCAGTTTTTTGTGCACTTTTCCAACAGGATCGTCGCTGAGATGGAACCTAGAGCGGTAGTAAAGTATATTGCATGTTCACCGAGCTGTTTGGTCCTGAATATCTCTAACATTTGACACGATGAAGCCGTTCCGGCGACCTTACAAGGTTCTACGGCAACTAGACATTGCGACAAGCCAGACCATCGCCATCCAGGTGGTGTCCGGTGTAGGAGAGGTGGCGGATGACGTCACGCCGGTCTCTCTCTGGGCCCTAGGCGACCAGATGCTTGTGAAGGTCTTGCAGGAAAAGGTACGATGCTCTTGTTGTTGTTGTTGTTGTTGTTGTTGTTGTTGTGTCATTGTTGAAATTGCTATTGGTGGTGGGGTGGTGGCGGTAGTGCTACTTGTCGTGGCACGTGCACTGAGATGCCTGCCGTACGTTGCACTTTTGTTCGCTGGACTCGTTATCGGCTCTACACGGCTTTTCCCTCTGTTTCTCCTACCTATTACTGTCTCAAGACGGGCGCGAGCGTAACATACAGCATCGACATGGATTGTTCTCAGACATGTTGGCGAAGATACCACCGGCCGCCTTATATTGCAACGGACGATGAGGAAATCGCAAGACCGACATCACGTCCCTCAAACCTCGCACAACCACCGCCGCAACCACTCGTCTCTTTTCTCTATGTAGGGCGACTTCATGCTGGAGACGTCCGTATTGGCGTCTGAAGCCCTCACTGCGGTTGGCATGGAGGACGTTGGCCTTACCGTTCTTTCTGAGGAGGAACGACAGCAGCTGCTCAACAGAGTGCGAGGTCGACTCAGGTGAGAGACACAGAAGTCCGCGCTGCGGGGACGTTGAGTCGGCATCCTTCCTTGACTGCGCACGAGGTGGATGCCCACTATGCCGTTGACACCGATGCGTGTTCGCCCGTTGCGGCCTTAACATCCATCGCCTTCCCTTTCGCTGCATCGACTGCGAGCTGTCTCGCGACGATGGAACAGTACTACGAGGACCAGGCATAGGTCCAGCAGTTGGTTCTCCCTGGATGCGCTAACGTGCGTGTACAACATATGCCGTCTGATGCCTCTGATCGCATGGTTTGATTGGGTCCTTTGATCCGTATCCGGAAACGCACGAGAAAACTTTGTAGGGACTCAACTTGTCGGAAAACTCGCGATAATTGTGGCGCAAACCTCGGGGTATCTCGACAGCCAACACAACCTTGCTTGAGCGCTTTATTCCAACCTTGAACGTCTACCTCCATCCCGACCTTTCGGTGGCGGGACCCAGGGTTCGGGACGGCCTGTTGGCGATGGCGATAGATGTCAGACTGGATCTCCAAGACGACCGGTTTGCTGGCCCGGGCGGTTCGGAGATTTCGGAGAAAGTTTATCACGAGAACCACGACGTGGAGGGCGTTTCTGTGGAGGTAGAGGGATCTCGATTATTCTCTCCTTCTTGGTCATGACTTTCGCATCCAAGTGCTGACCCATCCATGTGGACCCGCTTGTTGTTGTTATTGTGGTCATCGTTGTCGTCGTCGCGGCCGTGCTGGCGATCATCTTGACACTGAACACCATTCCAGGACTGTGCTACCCGATACTTTCCTCTCTCAGGAGCCTTCGGCACCAGTATGTACCAGCTTCCACACCCCCACCGGCCTATCACGGGCTACAAACTCTACACGCTCTTGCACGACATCGTCCTCGTCTGCAAGCCGTGTCACTCTATACTTCAGTCCAATGTCGGTTTCGCAGCCGCAATGGTCCAACTGACGCGGGTGCCCTTATCGTTGTTGGTTTCACAATCGCATCGGTCCAACTGTCTGTGCTCAGTGACTTCTAACAGTCGTGGTTCAACTGCCGCGGATGCGCTGGCTTGAAAACGTTCTTGATGCAGACAGTGGTGGAGCGCGAGGGGCGTGGCGGCCTTCGCGTTCGATCCAAGACGCGGCCACCAGGACCTGAGCGTGTGTACGATATCGTTGCACAGCCTGAGGTACGACCGAGGTTGTCAGGTAAAATCGATGTTGGTATCAAAACACTTCGTTAATTATTGTTCCCCCTAAGCCAATGTCAGAACACCTGTTGGTTGTGGCCAGGTTGTTCGTGGTAGAGTGTGCTCTCTGAGCCTCTCTTTGGCCGCCTGGTACAAGTTCCGCGGGAAAATTTTCGAGGCGTTCAGTCCTTCCTCCTCTCAAAACCGCTCTGTCTGCTGCGGCTGTCAGGACTGGGTTAACCTAGGACACCCGTCCCTTCCATGGTTGAACGATGAGAGGATGTCTTCCCTAGCCCAGGAGCTGACTCGCTGCGTGAGAGCGGGGGACGGGAGTCTTGTTCTACGGATCGGAGATCGACGGCTGAGACCCGCAGGTTTTTTCCCGGTACGAAATGCGACTTGTTCGTTTTTTGGCGGTGTCATAATTTCGACGCATTTGTCGGTTACTGTTTTGTCGGTTACTGTTATGTTTGAAACTGTTCAGGGCTGAGACCCGAACTTTTTTCTCCGGTAGGAAATGCAACACGTTTCCTGGTCGGCTTCATGTTTTACAGGAAGTGTCGGTGTCTTCGCTGTTTGTTGCTCTACCTGTGGGGTAACCTAACAGCGGCTAGTGCTGTGAGTAAGTGCACCATTCTTGACTGGGCACCTGTTCTTATGGCCAGGTACTTACAGTAACTGTATCCCTGGTTGAGCTGAGTTTTTCAGGGGCCTCTCAGGTTCTCAGGTGAAGGCCACAAACTGCGGTGTATCACCACATACCGCCAGACTGAGCGTCCTCACGCCCGTCTCCAGTCCCCTCGGCCTGTCGCGTTCACGTGCCTTCCCAAAAACCCGAAGACCAATTTCGTTCAAAACCAAACAAATCCTATGATCATATTATTTCCATTTTCAACTGCTGCCTCACGGTTGTCACCCAAAGCCTCCTCCTGTGTTTTTTATAGCCGTCCCATTAGTCAGCATATTTTTTCATGTGTCGTGTTGGTAACTTGCCGTGTTGTTACGCCAGATGCCATCTTCGCTACGGGACAACACCCATTCGAACCGGACGTCATCGGGACCTCCTGCGGCGGCTGACGCAGCCGTAGCCGAGCGACGATCGAACGACCGATTCGAACACAACGGCGACGACAGCAGGGTGCCATCGCCGTGCAAGTCCGGGGCCCCGCCAGGGCTTTGCTGTTGCCAAGTCGTGCTCAGGTCCGGAGTGTCGCTGCCTCTATCGATACCCGAGCCCGCCGAGAGTGTTGCCGACAACGCCGCCGACATCGACAGTAACGACGACGACGATAACAGTGGCAGAAACAATACCACCAGCGAGACTCGGGCTGCTAGAAGTAGCAGACGCAGCAGCAGCAGCAGCAGCAGCAGCAGCAGCTGCAGCGGCAAGATCCGGTGGCTTGTGATGGTGAAGGTGACGGGGGGCGAGTTGACGCTGTCGCTCCTCCAACCATCGAGAGCGGCGCCGTCGACCGGCGGGACAACGCGACCAGCCGGCCTCAGAGGGAGGGGCGCCGCCGCCACAGCGAACGGGAGCGGCGTGCACAGCACAGCCCGAGACCCCGGGAGAGGCGAGATGCGGCGGTCTCTGTCTCTAGTGGCGGCCTGGGCAGACTGGGCGGAAGCCGGGTACGGCCCGTTGCAGTGGATGTCTCATGAGCAGAAGGTGTTCATCGCCCGGCTCTCCCTCTACTGGGTGTCGTTCAGGCGTGGTTTTGAGGAGAAAAACGCCCCCACTGCCAACGAAACCCCCGTGCAACACCACCGTCGCCGTACAACCAAGGAGGCGTTTCTGCATTTCCGTCCCATCCTCTCAAGCGTGACTCGGGTTGTGGGAAAATCAAACGGGGACCCGGGTTCGGCGGTTCCTGGAACGGGCGGCAGTGGTGCTTTGGTCGTCGTTGGAGGTGCCAGCAGCAGGACAGTACCCAGGGAGGGGAGCGAGATTTTCGGCGGGGGGGAAACTTCGAGAACGAGCCGAGTTTTCGTCCGAGATGAGGGAGGCGTGCTTAGGGTCGAGGTTGTAGAGGCGGAACGAAAGAACGGAGGCCGACCGAAGAGCGGGGTTTCCATACTGGACGAGGCGTTCGGGAAAGAAGCTTGGCGAGAAACGGGCTTGGAGGAGCTGTTGTGGCTGGACTGCTCTTGCCGGCAGTACCTGGCTCTTCGGCTTGCTCAGCAGGTACGATAGGAGATTTGGTTCATCCTCTTGTCCACATTCTGGCGATCATAAATTACATTGGAAGACCGATCGTTGTACCCGAACCGTTGCTCCGCTATTTGCGGCGTGTCCCGTCCTCGGTGCTGATCTGCCTCGAAATGCACAAACATCTCGTTCGTGATCATCCACCGACAAATCACAACCCCACATGAAAACAGTTGTCATCCTGGCCGGCATCAGGCCGTAAAAGGTGGTTATTCCAGAGAGAAATAAACCCGTTCAAGGTGCAAGTGGCCTTCGCCGTAGCCCTACCCACAGGCGACCGTGAGGCGCCTAGGAACCCAGGCATCTCCGATCGAGCATTCTAGCGCCTCGGTCTTTTCAGACCGATTCCTCGCTTGTAGCCGTGTAGCGGTCGTTGGTGCTAACCCGTCCCTCCGCCGCACCCATACGGAATCCTTCCGTACGGGTTGTGCATACCATCTCCGAGTGTACGGGGTCCATGCCGCAAGTGCCTACATTTGGTCACCCCCCCCCCCCCCGTAAGGAAGCTGACATGGCAGTATCGCATGTGCGGGATGGGAGAGGAGAGGTTGCCGAGAATAGTATGGGAGGCGAAGTGGGCAAACAAAAAGAGGGGTAGACAACCCACGGAATGGGTCAAGGTTGTAGAGGACGTATGGAAGGGATTGGACATCGACGAAGATGAAACGCTGGAAACGGAGGGTCTACAGGGGTTCAAGAAGAAGATATCTGTTGCTTGTGCCGACAGAGAAGAACAGAATCTAAGGAAAGAATCCAAGGATAAGGAGGGTCTAGAAGTGTACGGAATGTTGAAAGAAGGAATAGGGTTCAAGGATTACCTACATGGACCAATGGATGCAGGGACAAAGCTTAAGGTCAAATTCAGGACCGGGGACATAGGCCTTCGCGAACGTCGACGAAGACATAGGACGGTAGATGACGAAGACGACAAGTTCAAATGCGATTGCGGCTTCGAATGCGAAGACAGTGTTCATGTAGTCGCGGAATGTCCGTGGTACGAAAAGGAGAGGGAAGTGTACATGACTGAGCTGGGAAGAATACAAGGGACGTACAGGGAGATGTTTGAGGCATGGAATAGAGAGGAGAGGACGGTAGCGGTACTGGGGAGTAGAAAGTGGTTTGAAAAGGCGGGAAGTGACATCGGTAGGATAGACAAACTAGGGAAGACATTTTTGAGCCACCTTTGGCAAAGTAGGAAGGAACGATTGGCCGTCGGTGATCGGTCCTGTGGGAACAATGCTCCGTCCTCTCCAGGACGCGTGGTCAATGGTCTAACCCGCTAAGGCATGCAAAACCATAAGAGTACGCCCCCCCCCCCCCCCAAGGTGTCCATCGTTGTGGACGACGACAGAGACGGGAGAGGGGGGCAACACGACCGAGACAACGTCCTTAAAATCAAACCTAGGCTCGCCATCATCTCGGACCTGCCGTTGCCGTACTGGATGGGCACCGTACCGATAGCTCGGCTGGGGAGCCACGCCGAAGGGGTGTTCGTCGTGGTAACGGATGGTGGGCGCAGGCTGCTGATCGAGGCCAGGGACTTTGAGCGCGGCCCTTTGCTCGCCAAATCGACGGTTTCGTTGGAGGACTGGACAGGTGAAAAAAGGCCCAGAAGATCATTCGAAAACGACCGAAGCTTCGCGGCACAGAGCTGTGATATCTTGGCCAATCAGATGGAAAAGGGGTGCTGTCGTTTTCGGTGGCCAGGAGCGAGGGTCTTGGTTGGTTGAGAAACGGAAGTCTATCATTTGGGGTAGTTGGCGTGTGCCCAAGGAAGGCGTCCGCGTTAGTTGGACCGGTGCAGATGAAATAAGGTCGTGAGGAGAGACCCGGAAAGATTAACGTGAGGACAACAACACCAACGACAAATGCTTTATTGGTCAGCTGTACTTTTGTGGAAAAGACGACAATAATAATCGACCGCATACGTGAAGCGACCAAAGCAACACTTTGGCTCTGGGTGATTGGTTCACCCTTAACCCTGTGAACGTACCGTGCTCTCAAAACCGGTTCTCCCCAAACCCAGCGACCACGGGGATAGCTACCCTCAGTCCTCCCACGGACAATAGGGCCTTCAAGAAAATTCTGGAGGAGCAGCTCGCGGCGTTGCTGGGCGCGGGGTTCCGCAGCCGCACGAGCCGATTGGAGAGGAAACGGGCGGCCCGTGAGGCGCAGCAGCAGGGGGGGGGAGTGCGGTGGCGGGGGACATTGTTGGAGTTGTCCGAGATGGAAAAGGGAAGACTCGGGCAGGTAACTGGTTGACATGATGCGTCGAAAGCTCAGAGAATCGGGGTATTCACACGAAATAAGAAGAATGGAACGCTGTGACGTAGCATTCCCCCCCCGCCCCCGAAAGAATTAAGCACTGGTTGCAGATGTGCCCCAACCAGGGAGCGATATTTACGTTGTCCGAACTGGAGCAAAAGGGGACTTGAGGAAAAATCGGCCCAAGATGATATCGGGAACCAAAAACCAACCTGCGTCTCAATAGTGGAACCCCGTCGGCAGCTCCTGCTTGTTTCTGACTAGGGACGTACAAGCCCCCCCCCTCCCGAATTCCTCTCCCGCGAGCGCCAAGTTCGGGGGTTTTCAAGCAATCTCGCCGAACCTAAGCTTGGAATTGATTTCGTTGCCAAATGTTTGGTCGTTTTCGCGGGCAGCTCGAAGAGGACGACAATGGGAGCGAAAACAACGACGCAAACCCAGACAGGCCTCCTCCGAAGCTTCCCCTGCTGCTATCGCCGCGAGACTCGACGCCGCTGGAGCAGAAGAGGGCGCTGCGCCTCGAGATGCTCACGAGAATGGTCGACGACTTCCACGCCAAGCACGGCCGCAGCAGACGCCGCGGCGGTGGTGGCCGCCGGCGCCGCGAAAAGAGGGGGGTGGGTGCCCCCGCACCCGGTGACGCACGGGACCCCACGACGGTGGTTGCGACCGGGTGTGATGACGAGAGTGCCGTCGGGGGGCATGACGGTGAACGGGTAAGGGAAGGTCCGGTCCATATCGTCAGTAATGAGGGCCAGGACGGAGAAAACGATCCCCACATCACCACCGCCAATCAAGCAAAGGCAATACAGAGCAACAGCAACAACGATGACGACACCAACAACAGTAACAACAACAGCGGCGGCGACAACATCAACAACAATGATAACACCAGGACTGCGTTCCCTGCGATCCTCTCCTCAACACCGCCGCCGCCCAACCCGACCCCCAGCAGCTCGAACCCTGCCGCTGGGTGGCTAGCAACACCTGCCGGAGAGAACGGGGCATCCACAACGGACACGGGCACCTCGGTCGATGGTGAAAGCAGCAGCGCCACGTTCCTCACGCGAGCTGTACCACCAACACGCCTGTGCGTGTGCTGCGGTGGCGAGGGCGGTAGGGGCCACGGCAGGAAGTGCGAGCACACGTTCCGGCGGTGTGGCTTCTGTCGGGTGGAGGAAGTCAGACGGGTTCTGGGGATCCGAGCGCCGGGCCGGACAAGGGAACCGGTGAGAAGGGTTATCCTTAAGCGTGCGATCGGCATGAAGGTTACTGGTGCTATTACGCTGGAGGCTGCTTTGCAAGGGGGTAGAGAGAGAGGGAGGGAGATAGATAGAGATAGAGAGAGAGAGAGAGAGAGAGAGAGAGAGAGAGAGAGAGCGAGCCTCGCTCATGGGCGTGATGAGGTTTGTAGCCGCACTTGAACGCGAGCAGAAACAGACATACTTCCCGACACATTCCTCTTTGCATTTTCGTCTTCAAAGGCTCCAGTCTTCATTGCATAGCCTGTTTGAACCCCGAAGAACGCTCATATCCACGTCATGGGCTCAACGAACGATGGTATCACAGTCAGTTGTTCTGGTCGTCACTGGTGCCGTCATTCTGTTTGTTGGCCTTGTCGTCTGTTGCCTTTCGAACCCTGCCCCCTAACCCCGGGGCTGCGGTTACACATTGATACGTTATCACCGAAACTAACCGTGTGACCGAACACAGGTGCAGGAGAGCATGGTGGTGCGTGTCCCGTCGTTGCCACAGTTGAAATTCGGCGACGACCAAGATGACGACAACGAAGAGGAAGACTTCGAGTGGGTCACGGATAGCGACGAAGAGGACCCGGAGTTTGAGTGCGACTCCTGCGGCAGGGTGATAGAGGACACGTCCGACCGCTTCCACTGCGAGACATGTGGCGACTACGACTTGGTGAGACGTAGCGTAAGTTCGTCGATGTGTCTGGTATGGCGCGCTAGGAGGGATGGCTGGGACATCGTCCTTTTTTGCCAATAGATGCAGCCGAAAAATGTTGAGCGAGTTCTAGATGAGACACTGGTGGACGTGTGGAGCGTCAACAACAAAAAGGCAGGGCCAACCGGGGGTATGGTGAGCCACGGTCTAACCAAGGCTGGCGATGGCCGTTCGAATAACAAGTTCATAGACATGCTGGTCGAAGCTCTGTAGTTTACGACTCTCACGGAACTGAGATACTGCATGCAACGAAAATGGTTGTCACCCCGATAAGCTACAAACGGCCCCGGGCGACAACGTCGGAAATCGTACGCAGTTCGTACTGCTCCGGGTTTGCTATCTCGATCTGCCGAAGACCGGACACCGTTCACTAAGTAGATGATGATATGCTGACTTCATCCGAAAATTGAGCTATTACGGGTCAGAAGAAATAGTCTAATACCCTTTGGAGACGAACCCGGCAATCGATCAGTTCACTCGTCCCCCTAACGTCTTCCATCTTCGACACTCTTGATTTGTTCACGTCGATTCATCCACAATATGTGTTCGCAGTGTTCGCTTACGCTTTGACTCTCCAACCCGGCTGATGATGATCAGAAAGCCTAACCGCAACCCTTCGTAACGTTACCATTGCCATGACGCATCCAGTGCCAGGCGTGCTGCTTGTCCCACAAAGTGGCGAAAGGGCACAACAGCAAGCACGAGGGCGATGCGAACGAGAGACATGATGCCTCCCACAGCATGACACGAATCATGGGCAAACCTGCCGTACCCGGCCGGTTGCTTTAGAATGAAGATGCTAGTTTACGTGTTGTTGAGATCAACGTATCGTTGGTCGCGTAAGGACTTGTATCCTGTTGCTCTTCAGCCCCTTTTGGTAGCGTTCCCCGAACAGAGGAATGGATTAGCATCATACCTTTTGGATGGGCCACAAGTTGAAATTTTGAGCATGGTGTGGAGATAGACAGAAGAACGGTGTTTGACAGGTGTGACAAGGATGTTTGAGAGTGAAACTCCCAAACGTACATGAAACTGTAGCCAAGGGGAGTACCGAATGCGTGGATTGGCGAATATTTAGATACGTACACGGCGTGTCACGGCAGTCTCAGAACACAGTCGTGGGGGCGTGCGTGTAGGGCTGGCCCCGCTACGATTTCTCGATCACTAGACAAACCTTCGCCGTTCGCCATGTGGTCGGCGCCGCCACTATCTGAGGTACAGCGTTGACCATGTCCGTCTTCTTCGCCGTTTCGGTGCCCTCAATGGGCAGCTCGGCCATCACTGCCACTCTGAGAGTCCTGCAAAAGGGAACTAAATGTTGCAACAAAAGTGCTAGGTAACACATCGCTTTGATTTCGCCTGGCTGGGTGGAAGGAAGGGCTTCATTGCCGAGCTGAGAGGTTGTCACAGCCCATCTGCTTCAAGGAATTCCCGGCAGGCGCTCGGGGTATGATGAATGTCGTCTGTGCGCGATTCTCAAAATCTTCGGGAAAAAGGGCGTGTTCGAGCTCTTACATTTATGTTGCCACGGATGCACCTAACCAGATCGGAATAATAAGTACTGCTCAGTTGGGTGCGAGCCCACGCTCAATTTTTAGGAAAACTCTATTCAGCTGCGCTGCTCTCAACTCGAAGTTGTGCATGTGATGTTGCGTAGTGTATCGTTTTGCACCAAAGAGGATGATGTCGATGCTCTGACAAAAAGAAACTACTAGAGCTTCCGAGGTTGCGGTTGGCACGAGCCCTAGCCCGTAAGTTGTCGTAAAACGAATCTAGAGGATACGAACAGCTCTCTTTTCTTGGTACCATTGTTTGGGTCAGATCATGACCCCCGAACTTGATGTTTTTTCCATTAAGAGGAGCAATCAGGCAACAAAAAATACCCAGAGGTTCGAACGGTAAATAGTACGAACATCAGCAACGACAGCGTGAGGGCGGGACGTCCATCTACATGCTGCTGAAATATCGGACACCTCAAGTTGATACGAGTCTGCCGAAAAAAGGCTCGTACGGTCAGGTATAACCCGCCTTCTAATTCGACGCCCTGTTGCGCATGATCGATGGATGTCAAGCGCCTTGCGAATACGAGATATCTGACACATAACAGCCTTCTACAACACTGAGCCCAATATCTACAAAACATTAACATTGGAGAGGGCGTTAATGCAGAAAACCAAAAGCAGCTAAAACTCTCTAAGCGCCATTCCACGAACAGCCGACCTTCGATGACACGGTCTCCAACAACCGTTCATATTCCTCTCTTCCCGCCTAAAAAATGCCCAAAGCATAGTCCACAACAACGTGTTGCAACCTCCAGACGAACAACCGACCAACTGGCAGGTGGGCAGCAAGTATTCCCAACGCATCTTCAGCAGAATCGATACAGTATGACGCGGTGTGAAGCCGTGGTTTCGAGCTACATGTGCTATCTCCCATCTTGCGCTGCGCGCATCTCTTCATCCACAATCGCCGCAAACGCTTCTGGCTTGGCGGGAGGATAGGGTCTCCTAGCGGAGGGCGAATCGTCCAGCTCTACCAGGGCGCCAGCCAGCCCCTCGGGAGTGGTTGCTCGGAGATAGTTTCGCTGCGCCAGCGCATCGGCGAGCTCTTCTTGGTGGTTGTCCATGAGCGCACGATTCACAACAACGACGAGGGCCTTGCCCAGTCCTGAAATATTGGCGATAGGTGGGGGAAGGACGCTTCGGAGGGGAAAACAAAGGGCCGTGCAGGCAGTAGCTTTCGCAGGTATTTCGCATTCAGCAAACATGTTGGATAAAGCATACAATCGGGGGGAAGTTGGGTTAGGGTTAGCGTTAGGGAATAGGGTTTGCGTACCCCCCCCCTGTTCTATTTCCTCGTAAGCTTACTAATCAGGCGAAGGCGGTCCCGTGCAGGCGACCATGCGCGGCGGCAGAAACAAGCGCATGTGCTACTGCAGAGGCGAACACGTCAACATTTGGCTGGGCCAATTTGAGATTAAGATCTAACTCAGACATGGTATCAGCCTGGAGAACTACCAGACGCTGTGTGATGGAGGCATGGCACTTGTACGGGGGGGGCTTCATCATTGCGAAGATAGGTTTGACGCTCTTGCGATGTACTGCCGTAGTGAAGTGTGAGTACTGACACTGCAATTGTACATAGTACCCGGTTCTCAGATGTTTTGGACGGCTTCTTCTACAGAGCTCACCCAGAGCCTCCATGACAGAGCCAGCCCCTGCATGGCTTACGACAACGTCCGCCCTTGCCATGTCCTCGTGCAACGTCTGCTTGAAGCGGTACCATCGACAATCGAGGGCTGTCTGCTCTCGTGTACGGTACAGACAAAGACGAATTGACGTCGTTGAAGATCGGGTTATTCGAAGCATGGCAGAATCCGCAAGACAGATAGGCAGAGAGAGGAGAGAGGAGGAGGAGGAGAGAGAGAGAGAGAGAGAGAAAGAGAGAGAGAGAGAGAGAGAAGCTTTGATCCGGTATTGAAGAACAGACGTCCCATGAATCGAGCTCAGGTTTTCTATTCTAGAGCCCTACACAGCTTTTCGGACATTATAACAACCAACATGCCGCACTATGCTCCCTCACTAGGTTGACAAGAGACGGGACAAGGTCGACCTTTGCTATCGATGGTGGCCGATTACTCCGCAACCCTGGGGCCGTTGTCAGATGAGAGTGTATTATTGGATTCTTATCGAGGGCCTGCAAACCCTTGCCCACCAGTATCATTTCTCTCCCTTTTCGCGAGGAAATCGTCCTATATCTAGACAGCTTTGAACACGCTTGTAGTCGAGACTACTAGCAACAGCTTTCGGACAAGCTCGCCTCTGCGGCGCATGGGGCATGCGGCAACACACGACCGACGAACCGCAAATGCTTGGTTCCAAAGCGGGGTGGTCCCAAAGCGGTTATCTTGCACCGAAAGCCGAGTCTAAAGCAACTTTGCTGTTTGGTCTTGATTCCCCTCTCTCAAAATCATGCCACAGATCTTCGCATCACAGAGACACACGCACACACCACCTGGTCAACAGGGAAGGAGGGCACGTGCTGTCCGTGGCCGATCTGCACAGTAAGCGACGTGAATCCTTTGGAGCACAGGCTGGACAGCACCACCGCGTTGTCGACGGCTTGGACTAGAGAGTCGAACTTAGTGGTGCCCACCGTCACGAACACGTGCTTGCCCATCCCGTATCGTCCTCTCTCTCCCTCTCTGCTGCTGGCGATGTGGCTCGTGTGTGAGGTGCCGGAACCAAAACTATCCAACCTACAGCAGTAAATAACGCGAGGTAGCTAAAGTACCACGGGACTGTTGTTTTTGTCCCCGATTTGACAAGCTGCTTGTCCCTCTTGTATTCTGTGCGACAAATAATGTGCAACAGCCCACACCGCAGGTTGCCCGTCTGTTGACAGTTGACAGCAGCCCAGAGAGAGAAGCCCGATCAGCCCACGCCAGCAGAGCACCACCACCACCATGGCGGCGCCTTCTTTGACCGAGGAGCTCACCAACACCGCCACGGCCCTATTCGAAGCGAGCTTCGGCCCGTCCGATGGCTGCGCGGTGGTTTTCGCCCCTGGGAGAGTGAACCTCATCGGCGAGCACACCGACTATAACGGCGGGTTCGTGATGCCGCTGGCCCTAGGGAAGAAAACCGTTGTTGTTGGCCGAGGATCCATGGTGCCCAGGGAGAAAGCTGGATCTGCTGGTAAGCTCCGCCTCTCCCTGCGAAAGATGGAGGCTGCTGCTGCTGCTGCTCGTTCCTTGTTTTTGAGAGTACAGCAAGCAGCAACATGTTTGAAGACTTCCCGATTGAGAACAAACAACAAACAACCCGTTCCTCACGGGACTTTTGTTGAAGTCGCTACAGTACTACAGCAGCAGTGAGTGTAGAGGGACCCCTGCTGGACACTGAGCCTGGTGAAGCCTGCTCGCCGAGAGATCAGCGATGCCAGCCGGAACAACGATTATTGATTCAGCAAGCAGCTATACTGAGTCTTTGCTAGATTTTGGGATTAGCAACTGACACGAGTTTAATGTTAAGAAAAACAACAACAACAATACTGGATGGGAAGGTGATGGGTGGGACGATTGTTGCGCCGCTTTCCCCGTGCAACACCTCCTGCTCACAGTGGCAGACACCATCCTCGTGACCGCGAGAGCAGCCGTAGTAAATAGCGACTACAGCAGTAGAGAGCTGTGGATTCGGTACATCCTCAGTAGAGAGCTGTGGATTCGACAGATCCTCTTCCTCATCGCAAGGTAGTGTAGTGCGGGGCGGCCCAGAAAGCGGTACAAAGATGGAGTTGGGTAGGCGGCTGTGTTGTATGTATCTGTTGTCAGGAGCACACTAAGAGAGCGCAAGAGGTACCTCACATGACACAAGATAACACACCCCCTAGACCGATTTTCAAAGCTCGATTGTATTCCACAGCAGCAACAGCAGTGGCGATCACGAAGATGGCGCGTTGGAACAATCTCGTCGAGGTCTTTTCGAGGACGTATCGTTTGCGTGGAGTAATCGAGCTTCGAAAATCGGTGTGACAATCTCGTGTCACCTGCGGACAGACTGCGGTGGGAGAGGCATCAAGCCCAGGTTGCTGCCGTTTCAAAGCACGCATGTTCTCGGTGTGCCCGCACACTCTGTTTGGCTGACATCTACCTCTTGGATTAGGGCTATGTACCACGTTGCAAGCAGCGTTCTACAGTAGGCGGCGCAAGATACCACACCCCCTGGACCAATTTTCAAAGCTACGTGCATTCATAGACCGAAACGATGTGTAGAACATGAGGGGTTTGACAATTCGGTCCAGGTGGTGTGACATCTTAGTTCATGCAATCTACGGTATGCATTTCCCTTCACACTCTCCACGAAGAAGAGCATGTCTTAAGTCGATAAATGCGGAAAGCTTCTCGACGAGATGGTTCCAACGCCACCGTTTTCGGCATCGACATTCTGCCGTGGAGTATTCCAGCTTTGAAAATCGGTCCCGGGGGTGTGATATCTCACGTCACCTACGGCACTCTATAGGGACCCCCTTGGCGCTATCCTGATCGTGATGTTCGTACAGTAGTAGCTCCCGGGCTGTTAGCCTCGAGTGCTGTCCCATAGTCAGATGAGTAGATGTCCAATCGTGTTGTTGTTGTTTTTTGTTGTTGTTTTCTTTACATTAAGAACCGTTCCGATCTCTCTACCCTGTGCCTTCATCTGTCCGCACTGATCAAACACTGTTCCGAGCGATTCCCGTCGGTTGTTCTAGTAATTTATGAAGTCGGTTTCCAGACATGACGAGACAGCTGGTAGGGTCGAAGAGAGGCCAGCTAGAGAGCAATCTAAGGAGACAAGAGTTACCTCAACACCAACTGATGGAGATGATGCGCAGACCTTAAGAGGCTGTGTGAGCTGTGGACATCTTCCCATCTGCTGATTTTGATGTTCCCTTTGTCTCCGTAGATTGCTCTCTAGCTGGCCTCTATTGGACCAGATTTTCTCTGAGCCCTGCTAGCTGTCTGGTTATGTCATCTTCTCCTATCGGAACTACCTTCCTTGGTACCGACGATTGATTTCTAGAATGTTCCTACAACAGCTCCCGGCCAGTTAGCCTCCACTGCTGTCCCACAGCGTGGTGAGCAGATGTTCAATCGTGTACTACAATAGTCGGTTTCCTCTCCGAAGGAGGGAAAGTGGCACACAGCCGACGAAAGGCCACATATCACGGGCACCAAGTTACCCCGCATGTATGATACTCCCAACCGACACGACACCGTTATTCCTGGAGAGATAAACAACCCCGACACGTGCTGCCTACGGCAGGCTGCAGGATCATCTCCAGCGCGGCTCCGGAGGTAGTGAGCTTCAAAGCAGACCAAGACCTCCAGCCTGGGAAGGTCGAGTGGGCAAACTACATAAAGGCAAGCGCCGCGTGCGTTATGCTTGGAGATAAAACACGGTTTCTGTGTCCCTGTGTGTTGTAGGTGATTGCGTGGATGACCGACAGTATAATGATACCGCCGTGTTTTTCTCAAACTTCGTCCTCTCCCGCAACAGCGTTTTTTCGCCTCTCTCTGCACGTGATGCATCGCTCAGCTGATGCTTAGTCCATCCCCGCACAAAGCCGACTTCCACCACTGGAAATGTGAAGTTCTCCCCCTTTTTTTTTTTGCAATTTTTCTTTCAAAAACACAACGGAATCCGTCCCTATGTATCCACAGACCAGCGTCAGGTTGAATGAGATCGCCCTCTCTCTTTTTACGACCCTCCCCCCCGCGCTAGAAAGCAAGGATGACGGCAGCTTCTGGTCCATCCTTTGCGAAATGCACCTTACCTGGGCGGGCGAAACCCCGGCGTTTCGCTCCGTCCCGGCATTGTAGGGGTGTGAGATCAACGGTCTAAAGACTTCGGGGTGGGTTAGCATGAGTTCCCCCCCCCCCCCCCCCCTCCTCTGTCGCAGGGTGTCGTAGCCGCTTTTCGCAAGGATGTGCCGGAAGGGTACGAGCTGAGCTTCGACGCCGCCATCGCGTCGAACGTACCGCTGGGGGGAGGGTTATCCAGCTCGGCGGCTTTGGAGGTGTCGATGGCGACCCTCCTGGAAGAGATCACGGGTGTGCGGGTCGGCGGCGTCGACAAGGCGCTCCGGTAAGGGAGAAACGGCCTGCACGCCGGAGGTTGTTGTCGATACAGAGGGGGTCCCTGTTTGGTGCCGGTATGTGCCCAGATTTTTCACTGGCACTACGCCGGACCGGCACTACGCCGGACCGGCACTATTCAAATACTGACAAATGGTTTGAAAATTCAAGTGTGTTCGTGTGTGTGGCGACATGGCGACAGTCCCCCCACTTTTCGTGGTGAGACGTGCACCACACTTTTCAGGGTATTTTTTGCTCGCCGAAAACACCGGCAGTATACCGGGCATATGCACTATTCAACCGGCACTAAACAGGGACCCCCCTCTGTGCGTGGAACGGGGTCCCCGAAACTGAAAATTGAATAGTACGCATACCCGAAACAACAACAAAGCACACCCACTATTAAATAGGGGGGTTACGTTTTTCCCGTGATGCTCTCTGATTGATCGTGTGTCGTTAGAAAAGCTGTTTCCGACGGGTTTGGGGTTGCGGACATGGATGGATGGGGTGCTCCGATCAATCAAGCGGGCGCGCTTCTGTATCTGTGCCTGCTCTTCTCCGTAATATTGCGAGCGCTTTGAGCCTGTAGTTCACGGAAAGCCCTACCGCTGGAACAGCAACCCCAACCAGATTTGCAGAACGCGCCACCGCTGATTGTAAGAACTTGGAAAAGAATAGCTACGCAGTTGAGGGATTTTTGAGATGTACAGTCGTAAGCCCTTTATATGGTGGGTATGCACCAGACCCTTATTCAATTTGTTCACCGTCTTGAATATTCCATTTGTGCCAGCCAGTTTCACCCACCCTGTTGCGGGCACCCGAGTTTTTAACCCATCTCATAGAGGGCCTAAGACTGTGGTCGCAAGAACTTGGACCCTACCCCACACCAATGGTACCGTAGGTCGCATAAGATCGTACACTCCCTGGACCGGTTTTCAACGCTCGATGACTCCACGATGGAGAGGAATCCGCAATAAAACTACACGTTTTCGGGAAGATGTCGACGAGACGGTTCTCACGCCGCCATTGTTCCGCGCCGTCCCTACCTGTGCTGCAGAGAAATCGAGCTTTGCAAATCGGTCCAGGGGGTGTGGTGTCTTACGCAACTCTCGGTAGGTGGTGTGGGTTGTACTACTCCTTCCTTCACAAATCTATAGCATTGTGTGGCGCATCTACCCTTTATTTTCCTCAGTAGAATTCATCCTCGTGTACCTGAAACCGTTTGATCAGTTGTCAGTGGTCGGACCACAACTTCATGGGCATCCCGTGCGGCATCATGGATCAGTTCGTGTCCGCGCTAGCCGTCGCTGGGACTACGCTGCTGGTCGACTGCAGGTGAACAGTAAAGAACCAAAATGTTCTACGCTACTGTGGTGGAGACATTCAGAAGTACGCGCCGCCGCCTGAGAAGTTATTGCTATGCACGGTGATTGGTCCTGTGGGAACGTTGGCCAGTCCACGAAAATGAGAGAGAAATGTGCATGACTGAACTGGGAAAAGTAGAAGGGAGCCACAAAGAGGTGTTTGTGAGGCATAGAATAGCCTGGAGAAGACAGCAGTAGCATATACTGGGGGATGGGAAATGGGCTGAAAGGTCGGGAAGTGATATCGATTGGATAGAAAAAAGGCTAGGGAACATTTTTGAGCGACTTATGGCAACGTAAGAAGGAACGATTGGCCATCGGTGACGGGTCCTACGGGAACTATGCTCCGTGCTCTGGAGGGCTCTTGGTCCACGGTCTACCAGCTATTGCAATGCAAAACATTAGAGTTCCCCCGTAGGACGAACGCCTTCGAAAAGGTGCCCCTGGATGACCCCGAGGTGTTGTTTGATGTTCTTCGTCGTCGCAACTACTACTGCATTTCTTCCAACACCCCAACCATGCGCATTTCCCCCCCCCCGCAGTGCTCCGTCCTCTCGAGGACGCGTGGTCAATGGTCTAACCGCTAAGGCATGCAAAAAACATGAGAGTACGCCCCCACCTCCCCCACCCCCCCCAGGACGAACGCCTTCGAGACGGTGCCCCTGGATGACTCCGGAGTGGTGTTCGTCGTGACCAACACCGGGATTCGACACAGAAACGCGAGCGGAGCGTACGGGGAGAGGGTGCAGCAGTGTAAGGACGCCGTGGAGGCGGTGAGTACCGTAGGTCGCGTAATGTACCCCCCCCCCCCGCTGGACCGATGTTCAGAGCTGAGTTACCTTGGGTTGCGTGAGATAACACCCCCGCCCCCTGGACCGATTTTCAAAGCTGAGTTACGGTAGGTTGCATAAGGCACCACACACACACCCCTGTTGGGCCATTTTTTTTTTAATCTCGGTTGCTCTGCAGCGAGAACAGCGGTGGCAGTGCCGAACTCAACGGCGTTGGAAGGGTGTCGTCGAGAGCTTTTCGGAAACGTATCGATTGACCTTCCGGCTGCGGTACCACAGCAAACCCGACCAATAAATGAATGGAGTATTCCAGTAGAGGACATAGCGGGGCAGTGATATCTTCGTTCTTGCAACTCGTGAGGACAGCCAGAGAAGACGTGGAAGAGACAAGGCAATCGCGCGTGAGTCGTGGTGTGTTGCGGTCCGAGTTGGACGAGTTCTTCTTTGCTTGTAGGAAATGGTTTGTTCCTCACGGGGGCGCTGTGTGCGTACATGCGGGAATGGATGCGATTCAGATCAAAAAGAGGCATCCGGAGGTTGAGCAGCTACGCGACGCTTCCCTGGCGTGGGTGCTTGAAGTCAAGGACGAGGTGGACGAAAAGGTACGAAAGCATTCATGTCGTCGTCGTCGTCGTCGTCGTCGTCGTCGTTGTTGTTGTTCTTGTTCATGTCTTGTTCTTGTTCTTGTTCTTGTTCTTGTCTTGTCTTGTCGTCGTCGTCGTCGTCGTCGTTGTTGTTGTTGTTCATGTCTTGTTCTTGTTCTTGTTCTTGTTCTTGTTCTTGTCTTGTCGTCGTCGTCGTCGTCGTCGTCGTCGTCGTTGTTGTTGTTGTTGTTCATGTCTTGTTCTTGTTCTTGTTCTTGTCTTGTCTTGGCTTGTCTTGTCGTCGTCGTCGTCGTCGTCGTCGTCGTCGTCGTCGTTGTTGTTGAGGCTGTGGAAGCGGCTTGGTTCAGCAACAAAAAAAGAAAAAAAGGGAAAAAAGTACACTAGGGAACAAAGAACATGTTAATATGTTGTTGAGGCTGTAAAGGCGGCTTAGGTTCAGTAAGAATAAAGGACGAGGAAAAGAAAAGAATACTGACACGAGGGGAAAAAAGATGAAAGTGGAGGTGGAGAGCATCGATCTCCCTACCTGTTCAATGCTAATGAACCGCTCTACCATTTGAGCTACACCCCCATCAATGACTTGGTATTGTGTAGGTTGTTCCTCCTCCTATTGTTGTCGTAGTTGTTGTTGTTAAGGCTGCAAAAGCGCCTTGGTTCAGTTAAAAAGGAAAACACGGACACGAGCGAACAAAAAAATACTAGCACGAGAGCAAAAAAGATAAAAGTGGAGGTGGAGAGCATCGATCTCCCTACCTGTTCAATGCTAATGAACCGCTCTACCATTTGAGCTACACCCCCATCACCGGCTGATCACCGGAGTGGTTGTTCCTCCTCCTATTGTTGTCGTAGTTGTTGTTGTTAAGGCTACAAAAGCGCCTTGGTTCAGCGAAAAAGGAAAACACTAGAACACGGACACGAGCGAAGAAAATACTGGCACGAGAGCAAAAAAGATAAAAAAGTGGAGGTGGAGAGCATCGATCTCCCTACCTGTTCAATGCTAATGAACCGCTCTACCATTTGAGCTACACCCCCATCACCGGCTGAGCACCGGGGTGGTTGTTCCTCCTCCTATTGTTGTCGTAGTTGTTGTTGTTAGGGTAGGTCTTAAACGAAGAAATCAGATCACGAAATCACATTCAGATTTGGTTATTTTAAGACCGTAAGATCCAAAGAACTCTGTTGTTGATTGGCTGAAATGTTATGGAATCTTTAGGACATAAAACAGGACGACCCAAAACTAAATCGGGACTTGAAAAAAGGTGAAATGATTTAATCGGATCTCGATTTGGGTGAACCGCAACCATAGTTGCGGGACCACGGTCTACTCGCATGCACGGCGCGTGCCCACCTACACCCCCATCCACACGAAATCCATCGACCGCCGAGCACAGAGGAGAGAGAGAGCACAAAAAGCCAATCCAAAGCGAGAGTGACTGCGCATCGTTGTTGCACGTGACTGGCGGCGAACACAAACGTGTACGGGATGTGTTGGTCTGTGGGACAATCTCCTGTGGGTTGTCGAACCTCAAATGCACAGACGAATTGGTGGCTTTCCGTCGGACGAGGCTCGATTCAAAGTCTCACATGCATAGACATCGCGTCAGTACCGCACAGAGGCCATGTACGCGTTTGGCGTGTGCTTCTCGGGAGCGATAGCTGTGGCCACGTCATAACAGTACGTCACAACAGCAATCCGGCAGTCGGCAAGCGGCGGACCTCTCGGGTTGTTCGCGGTGGACTGCAGAGATTCGTTTCCATTTGGCAGATCTCCCGTTAAGGCACACAGGCCATTTCCGTCCGGATTTGGGTAGATCCGACTCTTTCATTCTTATATCGAAATGCGATTTCGAGATCTGATTTCTTCGTTAAGAGTTACCCTTAAGGTCTGTGAAAGCGGCTTGGTTCAGCGAAAAAGGAAAACACGGACACGAGCGAAAAACAAATACTGACACGAGAGCAAAAAAGAGAAAAGTGGAGGTGGAGAGCATCGATCTCCCTACCTGTTCAATGCTAATGAACCGCTCTACCATTTGAGCTACACCCCCATCACTGGTGCGGATGGGCAAGTGCTGTTCCTCTTGTTGTTGTTGGTTGTTGTTGCAATCTCATGCACTGGTTTTACTTGTAGTATACTACTTCGAAGTACAATATACATGCAATTCGTCCGTAGTTTTTCTCGATCCAGCCCACACGAACCAGATTCGAATCTGAAAACTGAGTGCCTTTGAAGGTTTTTATGATCGGAGTCCATTCCCTGGATGCGTTATACCGGGATGAAAAGACCAGGCCGGCCTCCTGTTTCTTTTATCGAAGAACCCACGACTGTTTGCGTGTAGTCGAGGACTCGTGCTTCGGTCGTACGCATGTTGTCGCTGCACGAGACGACGATACTTTTGTGGCGTAGGCGCAACAGTTTTGTCCACTGCAACAGTTCGTCGTTCATGCCTGCGACTGGTCAAGTTTCGTCCATGCGCTGTTGCTGCACGGTACGATGTGACGGACGCAATGGTTTTGTCGTCTGCACGCTTTTCGTCGCCCTTTGCGTGCGGGGTCGATCACTTGTCGTACATATGGTGCGTTTTTTCTCCCTCTTATGTATGGCGGACGCAACAATTTTTGTCCTCTGCAGTACGTCTCTCGCCACGACGCGTTCCTGTGAAGGGTGGATCGGGTGTCGTATTATACACGTGTGATACATTTCCGCGGTATGAATGACGGGTGCTACACGCAACTTCGCCCCTTTCATGCATACGCATTTCATCACTATATGCTTTCATGCGATGGGTCAATCACATCTCGCACGTAATTTACGGTATGTTATCGCTTTGTGTATGACGGGTGCAACACTTTTGACGGGCGCTGCAAAATCGTCCTCATTCCTACTTGTTTCGTCATATTTTGCGTGGGACACGTCGGGGGGGGGGGGCATCAGGTCTTCAAGCGTGCCCGGCACGTGGTGTCCGAGGACAGGCGGACTCTCTGCTGCGCCATGGCTCTGCGCCGCAAGGATTACGGGATCGTTGGAGGGTGCATGACTGAGAGTCACACTTCACTGAGGGATGACTACGAGGTGTGGTGTAGAAGGAAGGCATTACCACCGCTTAAATGCAACAACCTGGGAGTTATCAATATAGTCTGGGAGCTAAGGACCACCTGGGAGTTGAGAGATTCAGGCTTCAGAAATATAAATTTAAGAGCTTGACCATTAGAAGATGCTCGGTTAAATCCCATACCAAAACCTATATTGTTAACTGTTGATATACCCCACAGGAAGAGTAAGAAACTAGCGGGCAAAATAGGAGGTCCTGAACTCACCGCCGTAGGTTGCCTAAGATATCAAACCCCCCGGGCCGGTTTTCAAAGCTTGATTTCTCGGCCGGGAAAGCAGTGACGGTGCCGAAAATGGCGGAGTTGGAACCGTCCTGTCGAGAGCTTTCCGAACACGCATCGTTAGCCTTCGGCACCCTATTCGTCGGGGAGTAATCGAGCTTTCAAAATAGGTCCACGGGGTGTGTGTTATCTTGCGTATGCAACCCTCGGAAAGTTGTGGCGCCGGTTGCCTTCCAAGACGTGGAATTGCTTCAGATCTGCGCGCAGAGAGAGTCCGTGTTTGGGAAAATAATCTCCTCAATTTGTCGATTCCCGCGGAGATTTGATCGATTCTGAGCCGAGCTGGCTCTCGTTACTGCTGTCATTGCATGCGGTTCTGTCGAAACCACGCTAGCTAATGTCCTTGCACCCTTAAAAAAGAATATTGCCTTGGGCAGCGAACGCCCTGTTAAAAACACTAAGCCCACCATAACTGTTGTCTGATGATCCCTTGGTTAGTTTTTTCTTCCGTGTGCCGTTAGGTGTCCTATCGCAATGGGTTCGGTATGGTAACAATCATGGAGTTGGACCTCCTGGTCTTGAGAATGTCTCTGGCAGCGTACGCCTCTTATCAGAGCACTCAGCCCCATCAGTTGTTGTCGGACTACACCTTGATTACTTTGCTCGCTTGTTGTTTATCACTTAACCCGCCATTGCAATTGTCTGATGGCTAATTGGTTTATTTCTCCGCAAAGGTGAGCATCAAGGAGTTGGACCTCCTGGTATCGATCGCCATGGGCACGGATGGCGTGTACGGCAGCAGAATGACGGGCGGAGGCTTCGGTAAGCCAGCCAATCACGTTTCAGCATGAAACGCACGCTGTTTCCATCTTGCCGCATTTTCAGGTTTCGACACTTCAATGACGTTTTTTTGTGACGGCGAAAAAGTCCCCCTCAGCAGAACGCGCCAGCCACTACGCGAAGAAGCTGTTATTTTGCGCAAACCTCGAGATTGCACCTGATTGGTGAACGGGGAAACCAACCGGGAATAAACAGGTTTCTACCTTTGCCGTGAAAATGGATTCTTCAATTTCTTAACGTCCAGTTTATGTTTATGTAAGCGGCGGCGGGTTCTGTCACCAGACCCGTACGTCGCGTTCCAGTGTTCTTGGAGCAAACGCTGCGTCCTGACTAGCTTTTTCTTTTATCGATAAAACTCTCGCGTTGGTTGAACTGCACTCAGTTCCAGCTCTCGTAAATATTGCGTCTTCGGCCTCCTGCCATGTGCCCTTCGCGCTTCAGGAGGATGTACCGTGACGCTGGTCAAGGCGGAAGCAGCGGAGGCTCTCATGACCAAGCTGAGAGAAGAGTACCTGGCCGAAACGGGCAACGCGTGCGAGTGCGTAGTGACGTCACCGTGCGATGGCGCCGGGGTTCTCGTGCCGCTTCGGTGAGTTACCGTTACGCGCCAACACTCAAGAACCTGGGGAGCAAAAGAAAGTCAGGCTCAAGATAAGGATTATTTGAAGGACTCGACCAAATGAACAGGTGCCCTGTCGAAAATCCTGCGCTGAAACCTATTTAGTTAAAGAATCCTACACCAGAACGAATATTGTCGACGTTGGGTTACCCCACACCGAGAACAAAGAAAACACTGGGGAATCGCAGAAAATTAGCTAGCTTCCGGCGGCGCAATGAACTCATTGCTCATCTATCTATCCCAGACTCTCATCTGTGGAGAAGATGAATTGGTTGTGTCGTAGGTTGGAAAATATAGAAGGGCCTCGGTCAGAATAAGAGGATCACAGTAATCGCTGCAGCGGTGCAAGAACCCCTTGCTGTTTAACTCGATGCAGCGGTGCAAGAAGCCCTTATTCTGACCGAGGCCCTGCTATATTTTCCAACCTACGACACAACCAATTCATCTTCTCCACAGATGAGAGTCTGGGATAGATAGATGAGCAATGAATTCATTGCGCCGCCGGAAGCTAGCTGCTTTTCTTCGATTCCACCAGCGTTTTCTTATTTCTCGGTGTGGGGTAGCCCAGCGTCGACACTATACGTTCTAGTCTAGGATTCTTTGACTATAATAGGTTTCAAAGCAGGATTCTCGACAGAATGGTTGTACACTTTTCAAAATACTCTTTCACTGCCAATTTTATTCAAGACTCTTTTAACTGTGGATGATAGAGGTTGATATAATAAGGGTTTCTTGCACCGCTGCAGCGAGTAACTGCCTCTCATCTGTGGAGGAGATGCATTCGTTGTGTCGGAAGTACGAAAAAATAGCAGTCTTCGGTCAGAAGAAGGGTTTCTTGCACCGCTGCAGCGAGTAAATGTTAATGTTTCTCGCTGCAGCGGTGGACGAACCCCTTCTTCTGACCGAGGCCCTTTTATTTTTTTCCAACTTATGACACAACGAATTCGTCTCCTCCACAGATGAGAGTCTGGGATAGATAGATGAGCAATGGATTCATTGCGCCGCCGGAAGCTAGCTGCTTTTCTTCGATTCCACCAGCGTTTTTTTATTTTTCGGTGTGGGGTAGCCCGACGTCGACAACAAACGTTCTAGGGTAGGATTCTTTGACTATGTTATATTGGTTTCAGTGCAGAATTCTCGACAGAGAAGTTGTATTCTTTTCAAAATACTTTTTCACTGCCAATTTTATTCAAGACCGTTTTAACTGTGGATGATAGAGATAGATATGTTTTGTTTGTCGAAGAACAATAAACACACGATCTGGACGATGTTTGCCGCAAAGTGCGGCGGAAGGTTAAGGTTTGGTCAGCGAAGCTCGTGTCAAAGCCAAGTAGGTCTCCAATCCAAGATATACCGTAAATGACACAAGACAACACACCCCCTGCACCAATTTTCAAAGCTCGGTTACGCCACGACGAAGAGGATGTATAAAGGAAACAGTACATTTTCGGAAAGCTCTCGACGAGACAGCTTCAACGCCACCGTTTTCGGCGCCGTGACTCTTGCTGCTGTTGAGAATCGAAATTTGAAAATCGGTCCGGGGGGTGTGTTATCTTGTGTCATTTACGGTACACCAAACGGTCTTCAAACGCATGCCATAGCAGAGTACTCTCTGCGGCTGTTTATTTCGCTGGTGGGGTCAATCGCAATCTCCAGCCGTTGTTGTTGTTGCTGTTGCTGCTGCCTTTGTTGATTATCGTTGTATTGACATTACAAGTCGTTCCGGTACCTTTTAACACTCGCACCGGTCCAACTAACGCGGACGCCTTCCGTGCAAAGGGTGTACACACTTCCAATGAAATCAAAAAGGAATCAAGTCTGCACTACTATTGTCATCCCGCAGGCGTCGTTGACGTCGACCTATGTGTATACCACCCAGCAGTGGCGGACCCTTAGCTGTACCCCCGGTTTAGCCACAGCTCCCGGCTCCGCCACATGCCCTGTGTATACAGAACAGCCTCGCAGTTGAGAACTGTTTCGCTTAGAAACAGAGGCTCATGCTCTCACGCAAATCGGGCTATGAATAAGAGACATAGCAGCTCAGAGGTGGATCCTGCACTACACCCCATATCATACGCACATAACAAGCTGTTCTCGACAGCAGTAGTGGCGACAAAGTAAGAAATTTGAAACTCGACCCGATTTTGACATTTGTTGCCTCCGGGCCTGCATAGCGGCCAAGAAAACCGCGTGGCTCGGTGACCCGACAATTAAAATTAATAGATGCCTCAAGGGATCCGGCGCTGGATTGGGGTCATGAGAGTGCCGCAGTGTCGCCAAGGGATGTTGTGATGCCAGACGAAATAAAAGCAGGCAGCAGAACGAGCCTACGGCTGGCTGCCAGCTGCCGGTGGCGACGTTTGTTTCCCGAGCTCGTTACAATAGCTCATATAGCTGACGTGTTTGTTCGCTCGAAGAGCCCAGCGAACAAAAGCCCCACGCTGTGAATTCATTACCAAGTTATCCTACACCCTTTTTCTGTGGATAGAGATGGATTTATTGTGTTATATGAAGAAAATATATTATATACCCACAACACTGCTGTATGCAGCCTTTAGCGACCTGCCCTGCGTGGCGATCACCATGTTCTCCTCCTGGCACGAGGAGCCGCTAACCCGGGGCCCACTCACGTCTCTCTCTGTCCTTTCCTCACCGTAGGCGCCCCCTGTTCAAGAACACGGCACTCCGCATCGCCGCTTCCGTGGCGCTGGTGGCTTGCGCCGTGTCGGCAGTGGTCGCCGCTTCTCGCGGCAGGGGCAGCTGTGGTGTTCGCGCCCACGGGCACGTGGCCTGAAGCATCGCCATGTTTCAAGACGACGGTGCCACGGCTTAGAAACGGTTGACTGCTGCTGCGTGTCGACACGCTGCTGCTGTTGTTTTTCTGCCGACGATTTGACTATGTACTGTATGTGGTTTCGTTGCAACAACGAGGCATTCTTCGGAGTTTTTTCTCACAGTTTTTGGCGCTTGGTACTTCGTTTTTCTAGTCTGACGATGCCAGGGGTTGAGATCTTCGCCTTTTTTGATGGACGATTGGTTACCGCTTGTTGTCCCTTTCCCAGCGTATCGGTTGCTGCTGCGGTTCGGTCGTTTTTCGTGGATCGTATCAATTTTTTTGTTTTGTGTTTCTCTGGCTTTTTCTGTTTTCTCTTGTGTTGGACGAACAGCAGTGTAGCGCATTCCGTACAGTAGTGGCTACGGTTTAAGAGAGGATGGTGACAATACCCTGTTTTTCTCTTAAATCGAGCTTTCTCTATTACCGTATTGGCCACCGTTAAGAGAATATTCTCTTATATCGTGAACACGGTTTAAGAGAAATTCATTTCCAAAGGCCGCGAAACGAACGCTGTCGTCTCCACCAGTTGCCGTAAGAGGTTGGTGGAGGGCATATCATTCAAATTTCACCACGTAGCTAAGTCCACACACTGCTCAATCTGTTTGTTGGCGATAATTTTACCCACCGCAAGGACCGGGTGCACTCCTCTAACCACTCCTATCCCGGCCACCCCCTACACTCAACACCCGTCCTTTTCAACCCACAAAAGCAAGCAAAGAAAAAAAAACACTTCAAACATAGAAAATATCGCACGCGCAGGAGTCAACGCAAGCGCAAAATCAAATGACTCAACCTGTCGGCCTCAACACCCATCTCTGCTGTGTTCCGTTACATGTACTCTCCCATGCCCGTCTGCCTGGTTTCCCTCGACCCGTAGGCACTCATCCGAGCTACCTTAAAAGCCTTGCGGAGGTGGTAGGACACTTCGGACATGCCGCACGTCTCGGCAGTAAACCTAAAGAAGTAGTCTAATGCAAGAAAATGTCAAGCATCCAACATCTGGAAAACCTCATCCGGAGGCTGAGTTGTATTGTGCAAATAACAGTACTTGAAGTGTAGCCTACAGTACAGTAGTCTACTCCAACTCGCCTACTCGTCCACCGCGCTACAGTAGTGCATGGACTGATGTACTGTATAGTAGTCTCTTGGTGCCGCCGTAGTCTGGTACAGTACACACGTGGTGGACGGAGTAGTCTAGACTACTTTTCGTGACAGAGTTTTCATGCAAAAGTTTCTCCTTGCAGTCAGTCAGTCGTGATGTCCAGGCGATCGGGCATCCAAAAAACTTTCCCTCAGCAGGAAGCTACCGTACGGCTACCGAGACCAAAGGTAAGTGGTAGTGCACAATAGTGATGTGGTGGTGGAGCTTTCCGTAACAGTGTACACAGAGCACCGATGGTGACGATGAGAGCAGCAGAGCAAACCATCGAGATCTGCCTATATGATGCATACATTCGGCGTTGTATTATACCCGAAACACGCAGCCAAGACTTACTATATGTTGTCGTAGAGGAGGACGCCGAACAACAGAGAGGGGTGGGAGAAATACATGCAGTATGGAAATGGAGAGGTAAAGAGAGGAGGAGATTCGCATCCCGCAGACATGGAAACGTCTTTGTGTCGGCGGACAGATGGAGGGTCCGGCGCACCGGTCCATGGTCCCCGGTCCGCACGCACAGAACCAGAGGACCGGTCTTTAGCCAGCAGAGAGCGTACGGCAGTTTGCACACTAAAGAAATCACTGGAAGAAGACTCTCTACCCGTTCGAGATATACCAAGGGGTATACATGTTGAAGTCTTTTCAGCGCGAGTGAGTGGAAGGAAACCGGCTGGTAATAACTGCTCGGCGGGGGGCTTTTTCTTAGTTTCAGCAGTGCTGGCCCGCAGTTCAAATAGTTTTTGTGAAGAAATAGATTGCCGTGTGTGCCACGGCTGCTTCCTACCAATTTGATGTTGGCCAAGTTGTACGTCAAAAGTTCTGTCTTGCTTGGTGTACGATGGCGTCATGAATGGCGATGGATACAGAAAGGTGCTACAGCACGTATATACTGCTGTGTATGTATGTACTGCTGAAGGCTCTAAATTCCTTTCTCGGTATGATGCGGCGTCACGAACGCATACATACAAGATAGCAGTAGAACATGTAGGTGTGGTATTGTTAGACCCTGATCTATGGGAACAAAATCTTGTCGATAAATCTTGATCTTGGCCAAGATCTGCCAGTTTCACGATTTATGGGAGCGAAATCTTCCGATATATCTTGGCCAAGATTTCTCGAGGTCCGGAATCTGCCCTTTCGAAAAAATCTTGACCCAAGATCTGTCGAAACGAGCCTTCCGACAAATCTTGAGGCGGCGTACCAAATCTTGCCTGGGTGCGGCGCGATCACCGAAGGTAGGTCAGTCAACCTAACTAATCGTCCATAACGCCATGAAATCTGCACGTGGCACACTCGCAAGGGTCTCTAACGCACCCTGGCGTCACTGTGTCGGCGCCACGGGCGCCGACAGCGAACTAAAACGACCAAGGCGCGCGAAAAAAATGCGTATTTGCCCTGGCTCGTTCCACGTGCGTCATCACCAGTCTGTCGAGGGACCGTTCAAAGAGTACTTTATTTTGAAGTAAAAAAATAGAGGAGGAGGAACGTTTTGCCAACACTGCTCTGTCGTGTGCGACGCTTCTATCATGGTATTGCTCACCATAGAGCAGCGGTGATAGCGCAATGGGCAGGCAGCACCCGACACAGAGGACAACACACTTAGAAAGATACAGTCCACCTGACCTGCTGTTTTCAGTTTTCAGCAACAACAACAGGCGCAGGGCAGAGTGTGTAAGATTGAACGAAGGAAATCTGGGGTTTGTGACGCGGGACTGAATCGTACAGTGGCAAGGTAGGCAAGAAATTGCGGGGAAGTTTCATCGGGAGAGAGATTGGATGAGCATGGTGGTGATGACGTATTGGAGTACACCTGAGCAGCTGCAGCAAGAAGCAATAAGAAGAGTGCACACTGCAGCCGCTCCTGTGAGACGAAGGGACGATCTGCCGTAGATAGAGGTCATCGCGTGTGTGTTAGGTAAAGGTCAGGAGTGGGCTTCGGCTAGGTGATTGGCCGGAAAACCCTCGCAACCTGGGTGTTGCTTGCGATTTCTCCAGTTTGCCAACTCATTTTTCACGGTTGCGACTCCCATCTTTGACCACCACCTGCCCAAAGGTAGACGAGCTCAACAATCATAGGGCGGCAGCCGCGCTGACGGCCAGCACCATATAGATGGCCAATCCGAAAGAATTAATTATCGTGTCGGAGGCCCTGTTGCACTACTTACTGCTGCGTGGTGCCGTGGATTGAGGTTGATGTGTCTGACCAAAAACAGATCATCTCGCCGCATTTTTTCCAACGGCATTTTGGTGAGGTGGCACACGTCTGTCTCTCACACACCTTACTTATTGAGCAGCACACCCAAGCACCCAATACCCACGAAGCAGCACGAGGCCGGGAGATTGTATCATATAGATAGACAGCCGAACCGAAGGAATCGGCGCGTTGGAGGTCTTGGTGCTGCTGCTGTACTCGTTCTACTGTTTCCGTGTTTGCTATGTGTGATTGAAAAAAATCCCTCAGCACCAACAACAGCAGCAGTTATGTTGAAGACGAGAGCACCACGCAATGTCTAGTTTTGGGCCAAGAACGGACTGAACGCCGCTTCTGCCGCTTGTCCATCTCCACAACAGACCTGGACGTGAGTCTGGCAGGTCTTTCTAGCGTTCTCAGTGATGTTACAGCGCCCGGGGTGCGCTTGTCCGATGCTTCTGTCAAAAACACGGATGGATCGGTGAAAGTAGCAAGCCCCAAAAATCCCGGCTCCTTTTCACGTTTTCGGGGAAAAACCCCTCCATATGTGTTCAAGAAAACACGCTTCCGTGGAGTATTCCGTGTTTTTTTGGTCGTTTATATCCCTAGTACTCACAGGAGGTACGAATACTGCTACTGCTGCTGGTTGGATTCGCGATGAATGAAGAAGGTGGTTGGTGCTCTGCTGCTTCTTCTTTCGTCGCCGTGTCTCGGTGCGTACGACGGCGTCAGGAGACAAATTCATACATAGGAGTGTGCCACACGCAGGTACGCTAGAGGCAGCATCACAGAATCCCTTCTGCTTGTTTGTGGTTGTCTAGCCGAGAGGTTGTTCAAAAGACACCACACCGCAGCACAAGCAGTAGCGCTCCCCCCGGTTTGACGGGGTTCTTTGCAGTTTTGTGTGCGACACACCACACACGCGGTTGATAAGCCGCTACCTCCGCAGGCTCACTGCACCACGACCACGACCGCGCTTGACGCGAGACACGGCGCGCAGCACCTTGCGTGCCTCGGACTTCCTCCGCGCGAAAGGAAAAAATCACTGGATTTGTAGCCGTGAGGTTGTTATAGAAACGGACCACAAGCACAGCAACTACATGTGTATCACAGTGTAACAGCAGCAGCTAGCTGCTGCCCGTACATCCCTAGTTCCCGAACACCGTTTTTTGACGTTTGCTTGGGGCACGTTGAAACTCCTGTTGTTGTAATATTATAGTACGAATCGGAAGGATTTTGATGTCAACTGGCTGGCCGGCTCTGCGGTAGACACTGCAGCCGGTTAATGTGAGGTCAGTGCGTGCACCCGTTGGATGGCATGCATACATGTACTGAATACTGCTGTGCGGTAGGTTGGCATGCCCCTGATCGTGCCGTTTGTGTACGATGGTTTGTACAGCAGCTGCTGTGTACAGCAGTAGTATACGTACGTACATGTCCTGTATGTATGTATGTACCCGACATAATGCGATGTGTGTGTACATGTAGACCTGGAGACATGGAAATCACCAATGAATTCCGACCCAGTAGTGCAGCGCGTGCTACTGCTGTTAGCACGTAAGCACTCCTCCTCCCGTCTGCTGTGACGTGGAAACGGCAGACAGACTGGCGCGTCCAGCGTCTTGCGCCTAGCGTCCAGCGTCCTAGCGTCCTAGCGTCTTCACGGAGGGAAGCGGCGAAATTGGGATTGGCCGGTTTCGGCCGAGGTTGGGACAGCTCCGTAGATCCTCTCGTGGTTTCCGTTCGGCGTGTAGTTCCTCGGAACCACGATGCCGCGATCAAAGGTAGCGCAAACAAATCCAGTGGGCAACTGGTGCCGCTGAACCTTTGCTGCTTACTTCCGAGTAGCAAAATAGTCCCTGTAGCAACGACCCATCCGCCTGTCCCACGGCGGCAGGAAAAACATCTCTCGAGCGGGTTAATTAATTTGCGGATGAGGAACGTTCCTCAGGTTCCACAACAATGCCGTCGTCGCCCCTGTTGCGCGCACACGCTTGTTGAACGACTACATTGCCCGCGCACGTGTGACCAATTGCGTGTGACTGAGGTACTCGTCAGGGCTTTGTCTGCGCCTCAGGGAATAGGGTGAGTAGCCTGGATCCTTGATAACTGGACTGCTGTATACACCTGAAGACTACTGTAAGGCGCTTGGATGCCGCAGTCTGCGTGCTGCGCGCCAAATTATAGACAGGCAGAGGGAACTTCCCATCTGTGGATCGACTTTGCAGCAAGTCTGGAGTCTGGAGGCCGGAGAGCACCGAGCTTGTTGCCGGTCGAGCGTTGTGAAGCACCTTGTTTTTCTGAACGGCAGTACGGTCTTGATGCAGTACGCTTGTCGTATGCATATGGTCGTCTCAATCGGAGTGGCACAAACAATACCCGCCTTCCGATTCCACCACAGAGAGCAACAGAGCGGTGAGCAGGCTGTCAAGTTGATTAGCGTATGTATGTCTACAGCAGTAGACCAGACAAATGATGCAAGAGGCGGGTGCAAGTACGTCTCGACCGTGAATAGTGAATACAGCAGTCGTCAGTCAGTTGCCACAACTTGCAGGCTCAAGTTTTGCCGCCCTCTCAAACCTCGAGCACCCCTGCCATGCCGCTGGAGTTACTGCTACTATATTTTGACACAAGATAACACACCCCCTGGACCAATTCGAAAGCTCGATTACGCCACGACGAAGGGGATGCACAAATGAAACAATACATTTTCGGAAAGCTCTCGACGAGACAGCTTCAACGCCATCGTTTTCGGCGCCTTGGCTCTTTCTGCTGTTGAGAGATGGAGATTTGAAAATCGGTCCAGGGTGTGTGTCATGTTGTGTCGTGTTGTGTCATACGGTAGTTGCCGAATCTCGAGGAAGTCCGCGGATCAGCCATCGGCTTTCGTAGCCTGTGTCGAAATTGTCGAGAAGCGTACGCATATGTAGTCGGCGGGTCCGTGCAAGAGGCGCACACCCGTCCACTTATTTGCGCAAGGCTCCACGCTTGTTGGTTGGTTGCCTCCAAACTGAGCCCTGTTGTTAATAATTTAAGTTATTTTCTGTAGTTCAGGCATCTGCCTAGGATGAAAGGGGGTTGTTGCTCTTAATTTGCTTATTTGTATGCATGCGCTGGTTGCCGCATGCCAAGGGTACTGGTCACTCTCAGTGGATTTTAACGTGACACTAATAGTACAATAGAGAAATCGGGCAACGCCCCTTCCCCTCAGTTCAAAAATATGAATGCGGCTGTAGCGCGAAGAACGAGGTCTTGTAATTGCGGAAAGGAGAAAAAAAATACTTGCTCGAGCTGGGAAAAGCAGAAGGAAGGTCCAGGCAGATGTTGACGCTTGGAATGTAGCCACGAGAAGACGGTAAGTAGCTCTATTGATTGGGGCATAGAAAGTGTTTTAAAGGGGCGGGAAGGGATTTCGATTGGACAGCAAAAGCAAAAGGTTTTTAAGCCTCCTTTGGCCAAATAGGAAGGAGGGATTGGCCGTACTTGATTGGCCCTTTGGGGCCAATGATCTCCCCGGTGGGGAAGGTGTTTTCAATGGTTTAACCCCCCTGACATACAAAAGACCCCCTTCGGGGGTACAAGCATTTTTTCCGGAGGGGCCCCCCCCCCCCCCTCTCCCGCCCCCAATCTGAAACCAATCGCTGTTGGGGTCCCCCCCCACCATCCTGAGTGCTCATCTGCTGCCGCCGTGTTATAGGGCTCGGTTCTCAACTGTATGTGCGTTGATACACCACGAAGGCGGGTTTTTGTTCTTGATACCACGTCGGAACTGAGCACCTGTTCTTATGGCCAAGTTGCTTGATGTTGGAATTTTTTAGGCTCAACTTCGTAACTTCTAATTAGTGGAGCGTTCTGTACGCGCTTGTTGCTTGATCATGTGGTTCCTTTGCACGATTGCGTATCCCATTTTTCCATGCGGTCGTTCGGAGTTGCAGGGAAAGCAAGCACATCAACGTAGCTGGCTCTGCCACACCTCGCGCCTGGGATGTGGACGCCGTGTTTCAGTATCACAAGGTGCTTCATCGCTAGACAAGGGAACACTATCATCGTTCCTTTTATTTCATCCCGTGTGATCAACGTTGTTTGCTGATCTCTCCTGCTCGTTCGTTCGCGAATGCATGGGCACAGGCGGGCAGGAAGATGGCGAAGAAATCGTTGCGGTCTGGAAGCACCCACGGCATGGGGCAACGACTGGCGGTGTCCCTGTTCTGCGGCTTGTTTATTCTCAAGGTTGTTGCCGCCGTAGATGACTTTGATGGCTCCTCCTACGCCAGGAACGTGTCGCTGGACACCAACGTGGACATCTTTTGGACCGTCGATCTCGAGGCCGAAGCCATTCGTGTGGCCGTGCACGCCAAAGCTGCCACCGGCTGGGCGGGCGTGGGCATCTCTGAGATGGGGGGAATGGAGGGCGCCGACATTGTGTTTTACGAGACAGCTGTGAGTGCTTGCTCGTGACAGAGAATAATGGATGGTTGTTGTCGGGGAGAGATAGCTCATCGGAAGAACCGAGCATTGATCTGGGTGTGTTTTTACCACCACTCCAAGCACGACAGAAAGAAATAGTCAGTCGTCATGATTGTCTGCAAGATACTCGTCGTGTGATCGATAACTAGTTGCGCACGTTCGAGCTATTAACTGCGGTTTCTGCGCAACATGATGCAATGTGCTTGGTAGCTCTACCGCGTGGCGGGCCGATCTCGATCCGAAACACGCGAGTGAGCGAGTATGTACAACATCGCCCCCCCCCCGCACACCCAACCCCGTAAGCAAGGAAGTAAGCACAAGATGCCGAACACCCTTAGCAGGATGCAGCGCACCCTTCATGCGACTCGCCGAATACCTCACGGTGCTTCGCGCTTGGTGATGTGAGAGCCTGGTCCGGTGAGAACCCGGCGTGCTCCGTCCCGGCTTTGTAGGGATGCGAGGTCAATGGTCTAACGACTACGGCATGCACGACTCTATGAGTACACCCCTCCCCCCCACAGCCATTTTCAGTTCCACACTTCTGATCAAAAGGCTGCTGCAGGCGAAGTATTCCCGTGAACACACCACCGCAGTATACGATGCAGAACTCGAAGTACATCATGAGCGATTTCGTAGCACAAAAAAATACTGGTTTCAGTATACTTGATATGGTACGCTTAACTTGGTATGACAAGCGATTGAAGAAGTAGTCAAAACTTGAAGAACGACTTGAGCATTACAATACATCAGGAGGACTATCGAGAACGTTCCACCGATCGATGCGGTAGATTCGGCAATGGTTCGTACAACGTTTTGTACGACGGGCACGCTTTCCTAGAACGGTTCTCAGGAACGTTCGCGGGAAACGTCCACCATAAGATTACGTCGAATGTTTTCCGGAACGTTTCCGGAACTGTTTTTTGTCTTCCGAAGGTATTTGGTTCCCGGAATGGCGACAGAACGGCTTCTCAACAACCACAAAGTCTTACCAGACCCTAAGCCACTGATGTCTTATGTATTTAGTTACGCGCACCCAAGCTATAAAGCAGCGGTTTCTGTTGATTAAGATGCAACGCGATCGGTAGCTCTACCGCGTGGCGGACCGATCTCGACCCGAAACACACGGCGAGTGAGCATGCATACTCTGTACAACACCCCCCCCGCCTCGCTCACGAAAAACAAGTGGCCGAGGTCCAGTTGCTGTAGAGATCATGAGGATGGTGAAGAAGCCGGGAGGATGGAAGCAGAAACTGTGGCAGGGAGACAGGTTGGAGCTGCTGCTGTTTGGAATTCCAAGGGACATGACGAGGATAGAGTTCAAGAACTGGTGTGACACGGAGGGACTGCATTGCCTAGCAAGGGGAGAAGTAGGCAGAGAGCATGAACACTTCCGGGTGAAATTGACCAAGGGAGACAGCCAAGAGTGCTTGGGGGTTG